GTTTACCTTTCTTCGCCTTCGATTTGTCCTGCAACACAAGAGAAGGGTGAGCAGTCAGTCTCTGTTGAACTTCATCGAAAGCAACGTGACTACTCGAGAACCAACTGGTCCACCATTGAGAAAAACCCATAGTAGACAAATAATTTGACTCGAAAGCATAGGGGTAAAAATGTATCGGGGTTTTTGGTAAAAGTTTGATAAGCTCCCGATTAAGTGAAGATTCAGTTAACTTGGACTTGAGGGATGAATCGAGGGGGAAAAAAGGTAGGGATTGGCTTAGACCAAACTGCCTCGAGAGAAACTGCGGGTAATAGGTAATAAACCTGAAATCCTTAGGCTGAAAACCCGATAATAATATATCATGGGTCAAATAACTACTCCATATGTCGATCAGCTCCAATTGCAACCCGGAGACGAAGCGAGGAACTTTGATTTAAACCAAACTGGTCCCCTAAGTTGACCATTTATTTGTCCAAGATTTACAGATGAACTGGGCCAAGGTCGAATCAAAGGAAGATTTAGTCAACAAAAAGTGGAGGTATTTACAATAGGTAGTCTCATCGGTCTTATGGCGAGGATGGCGGGAGGATAATCGGGCCCCTTCTATATTTACACTTGGGGGAACGGTAGAAATCCGGGAAGGATACTTTCGAATATCGAAATTAACCACAATTGAATAAACCAAACAGGCCGTAAAAATTCCCCGATGCCTTAGGGGTACTCAAAATATCGACGACTTCGTCGAAAGCAAGTATATACATGTGCTAATAAAGTTTTGGCTAAACAAAGTCTAGGATGGCCTAGGTGAAGGAGATATGCAAGATTGAACAAATGGGGGAAATTTGGATTGAACGGGGCAAAAAACATGGGTGCATAACCAATACACCAAAAATGCTACGTGCTCTTCGTCGAGAATCGCTATCGAAGGGTCATCAACAAAGTGCTTCTCGAGAAAATGCCCATAGGCCTTCGACTCCCAATCTATTTTTGACCTCAATGAATTATCTCGAAGGATATGTACCCGAAAATACCTCTCCCCTATGGGTTTCAACCCGAGTAATAGCAAGCAACCTCGAAAAGGGTTGGCGACACAGGGCCACAAGGCAATTCCAAAACATGTAAGTCTTTATTCCATAAATGCACCGCAGATAAGAACATCGCCATGTCCAAATGAGACAAATCACATCGGGACAAGTGCGGAAAATCAAAAATACCGAGTACTCCTCCAGTGATCCCCAAACTTAGCCTTAACCCTATCAAACCATCGAATATACGAGAGGTTTTTTGGAAGGAGGGCCTGTCCGATATACCCTAGAAACAATACTCAAGAAATCGATTCTAATTTCAGGTTGGTGAACAAGAGTCGGGCTTTTGAGAGGTTGAGGGGGAAGTAGCTCTACTACCAAACAAGTATAGGACCCCCAAAAGCAAAATTAACCCCTTCGACAGTGTAAGGGATGAGTACCTGCGTTTCGGCAATTTTTTGAGAAGCCTCTTCCATCAGAGGCAATGGAGCAAACTTCTGATTATTAATCTCCAGTAAAGTAGCAGCGGATGAAGTAAGAGGGGGAGCTGAGAAATCGGATGATTTGGATGAAGTGGCCATTGGAGAGAGTTTAGAAAAGTAGAAAGGAAGGAGTTGATAGATAAGATAACAGGAACGAAGGCAAGAGCTCAGGGAAGAAGACGAGGTTGCAAAAAAGATAATGGTTCGCGTAAAAACCAGAGTAGAGACTAAGGGAAAGGTTAAGGGGAAATCACCTAGGGAACTGAAGCGACGGAAAGGACAGGTAATTAATGTAGCTTATACTGAAAGGTAACAGACTGACGAGACAAAGACGTAAAATAGAAAAGAAACCTAGAACCCCAGAAACCCTAAACCCTAAAGCTCTATGAGCCTCCGAATATTTAGGCGGGAATGTTGAAAGAATATAAACAGATTATTCATATTCTTCCAAGGGGGCATTTTGTTAGTGTGGAATCGAGAAGTATGCTAGAGAAACAAATATATAGGGAACTTTTTCGATGTCTAAATTATAAAAGGGATGATACATATAATCGAAAGGCGGAATCGAAGAGTAGGAATAATAGTTCAAAAATTTAACATAGAGCAAACCAAGAAATTTGAAGTGCATAACGTTAAGGTTAAAATAAATCGATGTCGGTATGCAAAGTGCTCGATAAAATCGAGATCAAAGGGAAGGCTCATTTACGTAGATATCGAAACCCTTACTAAACCTTGAAGGGAATTAGTCAAACGCACGCAGGTAAGCAGTTTCTCAATCATGGAAGAGACGAGGATCGTGAGAACGTGGGAAAACCGTAAAAAGGAACCGTCATGTGCACGTAAAACGTGGTATCGGCCTTGGTAACCGCTCCTGGAAGGCTTGAGCTACACCCTATAAATAGAAGAAAGAAGGAAGAAACAGGAGAGCAGAAATTGGCAGAGAACGGAATCGAGTAGTGAAAAGTCTACCGGAGAAACGACGAACACCATGAAGTTTCCGCAACTGATTTCCTTGCTTCACTGAGTACATTTATCGCTTTCGTATTTTCCTTGGTAATTTACTTTCGAGCCATTTCAATTCAGCAATTTCATATTCTTGTATATTACATTCAATGTCATTTCGATTCCTCGTTATTTACTCGTTTATGCAATCTTAATGGGTTTTAGCAATTTACATTTCCCGACATTTCGATTTCCGATATTTACTTTTTGTGCAATCTTAATGGGTTTTAACAATTTACATTTCCCGCACATTTCGATTTCCGTCCTTTATTTATCTTGCAAACTTAATTTCTTGCAAATTCGGGTTTTCGCGACTTTCTTGCAATTTAATATTCTCTTTTCTCGATTCGATCATCGCTTTGTTTGAGTCGAAGCGTTTTAGACATAAAATACCAAAAATAGGATTTCTTGATACTTATAGTTTTCGACTCTCATACACGCTTTCGATTGAAAATCAAATTGCTAGCTTAAAGTAAAAAGTAACTTACGTGGTAGAAATTTGATCGGACCAAAACACCCTTAGGATCGAAATCGATCAAAATTCCACCGTAAACACTATCATATTTAAAATATTATTTACGTTAAATTATAAATATTAAAAATTTTATTTTTAAATTGTATTTCAGTGACTTAATTAAAAATAAAAGTGTATATAAACAATTTCCACGTTAATTTACTAGTGATGTGAAGTCACGAGTTAACCGTATTCAGCAAATTCTGTCACTTAACGCCAATTCCAATTTCCAAGCGTCTGGAGCCAAACATGGAACACTAACAACAAAATTTCTATCACAATTTTATTTATTTATTTATTAATACCTATTAAAAATCATAAAATTATGAAATAGATTCATTAAATAATTATAATAACTCAAGTTTGAGTTGACTCATTTATTTAATAGAGTTTAATTAATAGACATGAGTTTGGCTTGTTAAGAAAATATTAAACATGAAGTCGAGTAGTTTAGTTCATTTATAATTTATTTAATTTTAGTTTTTATGAAAATTTTCTTAAATTATTTTTCAACTTTGATAACTTCCAAACTGGACTTCAAACTCGCCCTTTGTATACGCCAAAAAGTAAAAACAAAATTATGATCCATGCTTTGCCGTGGAGTGACAACATGATAGAGTAAACGAAAAGTTTAGTAACAGTTCCTCCCAATATTTTTATTTGAATATGATTTACATATAACAATTTTTAATTTTAATAATGATGTTTCTTAATTTTTATTTTAAAGTAGTTAATTTTAATAATGATATTTCTTAATTTTATTTTGTTTTAATAATAGTCAATTAAAACCGGAAACGGACACTTCAGTTTGGCATGTTGCACATACAAATTATACGATTTCACCTTATTTATATTTACACGTATTAAAAAATTGTTTAATTCCAGGTATGTCCAATTTAAAAAAAAATATTTAAAAAAAAATCGAATAGTTCTAAATTTTTAAAAATTAAAAGAAACTTACTTTTTAAAATTTTAAGTTATATAGATAGAGTTAATTTCAGTTTTCAGATATAATACTTTATAATATATAAATTATACAACAAAAATATAGATGTTTAATAAAATAATTTTTTTTTATTTTTAAAATTATAAATATTATTTTAAAAAATATTAATTTAAGTGTATTTGAATTACAGAGTAAAGTAAATGGATTCACTTGAATTTAAATTATCATCTATCCACTGTTTTTCTCCACCTCCCCTAATTGCCCCTCCTCGAACAACGAATCCACTTCCCCAGATACCCCCTCCCCCAACTACGATTAAATAATCAACAAAACACCGTTTCCTATTTCACTCTACTTTTTTTTTTTTTTTTTTTTTTTTTCCGAGTTTCACTCCAACCTATTCACGTAACGTGACTCATGATTTTAGTAATAAAATAATTTCGATAAGCACTGTAATTAAAGCATTTTATTCTCTTATAAAATTTGAAGATGTGTCCACTACTTTGCATCAGGAATCTATAACAAATAAACATTGCATCGTTGCACAAATAATGTTTGATGATAAAAAGTTAAACATATCGCACCAATGATGCCGGATTAACGGTCACTATTTTTCTTCTGATAAATAGATGTAATTGGACGTTACCTAATGGCACTGGAAACACTAAAGTTGACTTCCGCGTTTGCTATAAGAAATATCTTGGAAGAGAATCAGCAACTGATGAGAATCTACATGGTTCATCCCTGAGCATAAAAATTCTGCTATAATTTCGAATCTTTCAAGTTCGGATCCTCGCAAGTACTGAATCAATTGGACACTCAAGAAAAAAAGCACGAATTCACACGAAAATCTGAGGTCATTTCAAAGGTACATAACTGTTTCTTTTCATATCTTTATTTTAGTTCTATTTTCTGGTTCTGAACTAGCAATCTGAGGTTCTCGTAAGCACTGTTGACTTTATCGTCCTTTCATAATTTGGTACTCTTTTGATTGTCGAAAAACAGAGACAGAAAGAGCAAGTTGGTCATTCATGGAACAGACCACGCAGCGCGTTGTACTTCCAACCCAATTTCAAGAGGGATTGAGGATGATAACGGAAGTAGTGGAAAAAGGTAAGAGTAGTGAAAGCAACAAGCAGATACTGAGGTCAACTCTCAAGGATATGAACCCTGTGGTGCAAGAGATCGAGCAATTAAATGAACACTTAAATCCACCAAGAGAAGAAATCAAAACCCTTATTGACCAAAAAGATGCAAAAGAAGAGCCTGTGTGCAAATGCTTCTCCAAGAATTTTTGTTTGGACAAGTGTCTCGCTTGGTTTCTTTGCAGATTTGGACACAAGAGGGACGATTCATTTGCTGGTGGTGGCAAGCAAACTCTTGTGGCAAAAGATATTGAAGAGAAACTGTACAAAGTAAGGGAAATTCTTGAGCTTCTCAGCAAAGAGAATCGTGAGCAGAAGTATTGTGGTATTAGAGGGCCTATCAAGCTTCCTTTTGGTGTTCCTGCAAACCCAGATTTCACGGTTGGCTTGGATATTCCGTTGAAAGAGTTGAAGATGGAGGTTCTCAAAGATTGTGTGTCTGTTATTGGGCTGACTGGTTTGGGTGGAATGGGGAAAACCACTCTGGCTACAAAGCTCTGTTGGGATGAACAAGTCAAGGGTAAGTTTTAACTTCTTTTTGTTTATTTGATATATGATGATTTCATCAAACAATTTGACTAGTTCTTTTTTTAGATGATTTCATCATGGCTCATCAATCGTTCATAACTTCTTTATGTTATCTCTTTGCGAGATATTTTGCCATCAACTACTAGTTAATATCAACCATGTCTTAGTATTGAAAAAAAATTAGTAACAGAAAGAGATGCCAAAAGAAATATTTGAGAAGTTGCATAATGCAAGTACGTCTTGAAATATCCTGGTAACAGATCTACGTAATGGCATTTAAACGTTTTAATCCATATTTCTAAAGGAAGAGGGAGCTCAAAGCAACATTTGGCACATTTGCTAGAAATAGTCACTTTTTTTTTGTCAACTTTGTGACAATTTTTGAAAATGGAAAGAGACATTATTTTCCTAAGATTGTTACCAAACATGTGCATACTATCCTATAAGAAGTTAGTATGGTGAACAAAATGGTTCATTGTAGTCCAACTTTCATCATAAGGGCATACATAACCTGGGCTTTTTTCCATTCTCAATAAATTATGTTTCAACAAATTAAAGAAGCATTTTCTTTTAATATGTATTATTTGTTTTTCTGTCTAGTGTTCTTTTAGCTGAATTATTCTTTTGCAATACTAGCAGTGAAATGAGTGCCCTACATAAGGCATTCTAAATAGTACAAGACATTGAATACTCTGTGCTTACAGATCTCTTTGGTTTTACCTAGGTAAATTTGGGGAAAACATTTTATTTGTCACGGTCTCAAAAACGCCCAAGTTGAAGATTATTGTAGAGAGATTATTTGAACACTGTGGAATTGAAGTACCCGATTTTCTAAGTGATGAAGATGCAGTTAATCAATTGGGACTTTTGCTTAGACAAATAGGTAGAAGTTCAGTGTTGCTGGTCCTGGATGATGTTTGGCCTGGATCAGAAGCCCTCGTCGAGAAATTTAAAGTCCAGATACCAGACTATAAAATTTTGGTGACTTCTAGGGTTGCATTTCCTAGATGTGACACCCAGTGTTTCTTAAAACCTCTTGGTCATGATGATGCAGAAACCCTTTTCCGACATTATATGAGTGGTTCAAGTATTCCTGATGAAGTCATCCAAAAGGTGAAAATCATATGGGGTTATTATCTGAACTTGATCTTTTTGTCTGAAGTTATTTAGTTGAAGTAGACATCATAAGACTGGATATTAACACTTGGAACCTTTTGGTTTCATTTTGAACAACTTATCATTGAACTAACATAGATTGGGAAAAGAAAACGTAGAAGAAACATAAAATAGAAACCATGTTTTGACCCCTCAAGACAACGATACCTTAATTGCATTTTGCCTTTCTAAGTCATACAATATTGGTTACTGACTAGCTTTGGTCGCAAATGCAGGTTGTGAGAAACTGCAAGGGTTTACCGCTTGCTATCAAAGTAATTGGGAGATCACTCTCTAATCAGCGTTCTGAGGTGTCGCTAAAGATGGTGGAGGAATTGTCGCAAGGTCGTTTTATACTTGATTCTAATATTGAACTGCTTACATGCCTCCAAAAGATCTTGGATGTTTTGGAAGATAATCTTGTTATCAAAGGGTGCTTCATGGATCTAGGGTTATTTCCCGAAGACCAAAGAATTCCTGTTACTGCTCTCATTGATATGTGGTCTGAGTTGTATAGACTAGATGATGACGGCAAAGAGGCAATGGCCGTCATCAACAAATTAAACTCCATGAATCTAGCCAATGTCGTGGTAGCAAGGTACAATTATTTTCTTCTAGGCCTCTTAATCCTATTATACACGTAACATGAATTTATGCACTATAGAACAAATAATTAAATGGCTTGTATAGATTTTGTGAGAAATAAGCACCTTACATACTGTAAGTCTTCATTTTGTAATTGTGAACTGAAGTTAAAATTCGTAGTTTTTCTTCTGATATTTGTTTTTATAATCTAGTTTGAGATTTTTTATTTTTTTTAAAGGAATGAGTTTCTGCTTTTTTACCAGGAAAAATGCCAGTAACACAGACAATTACAACTACAATAACCACTTCATCGTTCTTCATGACCTCCTGAGAGAGCTTGCAATTTATCAGTGTTCTCAGGAACCAATGGAACAGAGAAAAAGATTGATTATTGAGATAAATCAAAATCAACATGGGGAAGAGACAACATTTCTTAGCTGGTATGTTAAACAGAAGCCCCAGCATGTCACTGCCCACACATTGTCCATATCGACTGGTGAGTTATACCTCGTCTAAAACATATACTTACAAAGTAATGAAATGTGCAATGTTATGGTGATCTGGCTTTCATTACTCTTCCACAACTAATGCCATATGGGTTGTATTTGCAGATGAAAATTGCACTTCAGATTGGCCCCAAATGCCACTAGCTCAAGTTGAGGTTTTGATTTGGAATCTTCGGACTAAGCAGTATTCCTTTCCAGCTTTCATGGAAGATATGAACAAACTAAAAGTTCTGATAGTGACAAATTACAGTTTCTATCCTTCTGAAATCAACAACTTTGAGCTACTTGGCTCTTTATCCAACCTGAAAAGAATCAGATTAGAGCGAATTTCTGTTCCTTCTTTTGTTGCAATGAAGAATCTTAAAAAGTTATCCCTCTACTTGTGTAATATGAAACAGGCATTTGAGAACAATGACATGTTAATTTCATACGCTTTTCCAAATCTTGAAGATTTGAATATTGACTATTGCAAGGATATGTTGGGATTGCCTAAGGGGCTCTGTGATATCATCCCCCTGAAGAAGCTCAGTATTACTAATTGCCACAAACTCTCTGCACTGCCGCAAGATATTGGAAAATTGGGGAATTTGGAACTTCTAAGGCTCAGTTCTTGTACTGATTTGGAAGGGATACCAGATTCTATTGGAAGGCTCTCAAATCTACGACTTCTTGACATCTCACATTGTATAAGCCTTCCTAATTTACCGGAGGATTTTGGTAATCTGTCTAATCTACAGAATCTCTACATGACAAGTTGTGAAAGGTGTGAATTACCATTCTCTGTAACTAATCTTGGGAATTTAAAGGTTGTGATATGCGATGAAGAGACAGCTGCTTCATGGGAGAATTTCAAGCCTATGCTTCCCAATCTAAAGATAGACATTCCTCAAGTTGATGTTAACTTGAGTTGGCTTCATACAACTTCCTCCTGATACTGGCTTTATGCAGTTAAGGTTGCCTTTCCAAGAGTCAATGATCACACCAAAAGGAAAAATGACAATACAGTTTTAACATTGGATTATGGTAAAACGAAATGCCCCTATTAAACAGCGGTGAAGGGGATTTATGGTTAAGGAACTCATCTAACTTTATGAATGAGTTCAACTAAGAGACTCAATCTCCGATCAACTATGATATCCATCCTTTTATTATATATCCATCCATTGGCTGGAAGAAAGACAATTTCGGTGGTATGACAACTGAGAAAGCTGGAATATATCGGAACCCACAAATCCAAAGAATGTTATAAGGACCTATGCTATGCTTTATTTTTATGTTTATTTTTCCTGAAGACTAGAGGATCTCAATCATGCCAAGTGCAGCACAGAAAATTTATGAATAGGTCAACCTGATCAGGGCTGATGTTGTTACAAGGTTTGGTTTGAGGCTCTTGAATAATATGATGTGCTGTATGATAATATTGTAAAGCCACTTATAATTATAGACAGGAAAGGATCTCGATCATGCCAGTGCAACAGAGAAAATTTATGAACAGGTCCACCTGAACATGGGTGATTCTGTTGTTACTAGGTAGGCTCTTAAGTAACTTGATTGCTGTATGATAATCTTGTAAAGCCTCTTTAACGATGAACAGGAAAGAGAGTTCCGCTAAATTGGTTAGATTTTTCAGCACGGAATGCTCATGAAGAAAAAGGCTTTTACCTTTGTGTGGTGGAAATGGAGAAGCAAACAAGAAAGTGAGGAAATGACAGATGAGGAGCAAATAGGAGGTTATTTTCATGGGACCACTTACAAATACTCCCCTTTTAAATTGGCATGAAAGTGGAGGAAAAATATATTTTTTTTCATTGTTTTTAACTAGTTGATAAAGTTCAAATGATTTTTATAACACTTTTAAAAATATTAAATAGTCGTCTTAAGAAAAAAATTGCAGTAAAATGAATTTTTATTTGGTAGAAATATTTTTACTTAATCCATTTTTTTTTCTTTCTATCTGTCCCCAACTATTCAAACTAGTGAGGGAAATTTCTCACTTTTTTTTTCTTATCTTTTATTTATATTATTTTCATTATTTCACTCCAAATCATTATTTGATTATAATGAAATCTCCATGCAGACAGATAATTTCTTGTCAATGTGTCAACACCTTTCTCAGCAGGAGGAACCACGTCAAGTTGAAGAAGAATAGGCAGAAATTCGGTATTATCCAAGACTTGGTCATGATGCCAAATTTGGTGGGGATTGACTCATCAACGTTTTCTTTGACATCAGAATAAGGAGGGAACAAAATAAGAACAATAAAAAAAAGTGAAAGTCTAACGGAAAAATTCGAAGATTAATATGCTATATAATTATGATAATAATAACGCATGCACGCGTACGCTATGATCCATAATATAAATTTGAACTTATTTTTGAGTCATTATAATTTAGTTTTGAATTAATTTTAAATTTTAGTTACATATCAATCTTTTTAAATGTATATCTTTACTTAAACTATCATATTTTCTCATATTATTCTTCTTCTATTCATTTTAAATTATCTCTTCAAAATTTTCCAATTATATTTACGTAAAAACTTAAGTACGCATATCTTACTTTCATCTTTAACAGAATAAAGCAAAAAATTCGTGTATGAATACCATCTAGAAGTCTAATGTCGAAATAATAAAGTAATTATTAAAAAAGTATGATAGTTAAAATAAATAAAATAATTATTAAAAAGTAGGATAGTTAAAATAAATAGTGTATATAAAAATATCATAAATTAATAATAAAATTGAAAACATATTATCTATCTATCATAAAAAATGTAAAATAAGGAAAATTCATCTTATGTAAAATAATAATAATAAAATTCTACCCTATAACTGAAACGAGAAACAAAAATTGTATAAGATTAAAAGAAAAATCTAATCAGTAGTTTAAGAAAAAAAAATGATAAATATAAAGATATTAGAAGTTAACATTTTTTAAAAATGCTACAAGGTAATAAAAGAAGTTTGTTTACTAGACACTGCTAATAAGGTCAAATGAAAATTTCAACTGATAAAAAAATTAGAAATTTAACTGAAATTATATGTCAAACACGTAAAAGGAAAAAAAAACACTAAATTCAGTTTTACATGGTTATATAGTGACAAATTGCCAATTATTATTTATAGTAAATTTATTAATCTTTATCTTAATATTAAAAGTCATATTAATACATATATATATATATATATATATATATATATATATATTCATTTAAACTTTACAAAATAAATATTACATCCTCCCAACCTTGTCATATATTTATCCCACTTAATTAACATGTTATTAATGTGGGTGGAAAACTGGTGTTTTGGACAGAATAAAAAGTTAACTAAATTAGTGCAAAGCCATAGAATTTAAAAGGAATAAAAAGTAAATATATAAGACACGTTTTGTATTAACAAAACAAATATAAGGCTAAAGGTGTATCTATCGTTTAAACTGAGACATTCCTTCACTGTTGCCGGAAAAAAACGAAAATTGCTTGAAATCACAAGGATGGAGTATGCGTGCGTTCTCTGATGGAGTGAGTCTGCGCGAGTGTTCTTCATGTTTATATGAATTTGATGATAAGAGGTTCCTTCATTATTTGTTTCATGACAAGGTCAAACTTTTATCGAAATGTGGATTTATAGACAGAAGACCTCTAAGAGAATAATAAGAATATGAAACAAATAATAATAAAAAAAATAAGTATGAGTTAAATTTTCAATGTAGATGTCGTTTTCTAAGTTTCAAATGTTTTATTTTTTTTTCAAAAAACATGATGCATAATCATGGATAATAATTAGGTTAAAAAATTTTAGGTTATTCAACAATATTTTTAATATTATTGGTCAAATTTAAATCTTGGAAACTAAATTTTATTTTATTATTTATCATTAAATGTTTTGAAGTCATATCTAAAACTCAACTTGAATATTTTTTTTATATATTTTATCATTAAAATACGATATCATAAAATTTAAAAATAATTAAAATTATATCAATATTATATATTTTTATATTATTTTATACTTGTTAATTTACTGTAATAATAAAAAAAAAGGAAAGCAAAATTATTTTTGTTTGAAGAAAGAATGAGATATCTTATTTATTTTTTAACCTTCTACCTTTTGTAAACGGGAAAATGTCACCAATGTAAATAAAAGAGAACAAAACTAAAAAGAACAACAAATTATAATTTTTATTTTACAAAGTTGAATTGTAACAAAAATTGTGAAATCAAAAAGAAAATTCTACAAAATATATGTTATAAGGTTAAACCATGAAAGAAAAGGATATGATTGTGACAACCAAAATCTAAACGATAAAAATAAGTTTTTAAATAGAAGAAAAATTGCACATTAATATTTATTTTAAGATAAATATATAAAAAAAACCTTAAAAAAACAAAAGTCTATAAAACAAAAGTTAAATTTTAGAGTTGATTACGTGTTGGGAAGATATTAACTTCATACATCATCTGTTTTAAAAAACAGTTATCTTTAATTATACGTGAAAAAGTTAAATATCTTAAAATTATTTATTTTATCCCTCAAAATTATATATTTATAAGATTATGCATTTTTATATTTTTGGCTCAATAGAGATTATCTTTCTATTCTTACATCGGTGCAATGGAAAATCAAAGTGACGTAGTTCTTCTTTAAAAATATTTGTGAATAACTTATTTTAATTTATTTATTTGTATTACTAAGTTAAAGTTAAATGTATGTTTGAAATTATTTTAAAAATTGAATAATCATGAAATAATCAAGTTAAAGTGCATATAAAGTTATTATCATTTTTATAATTTAAATAATTATTAAATCAAATATGCATCAAAATAATAATTAATATTTAAATATTTAAGTTATTATACTTAAAAAAAGGGGAGCAATATCTCTGACGGGTGCCTGTTTGGTGGGGTTGAGAGTGATCTGGTCCGTGATGATCCCGTGGTGAGAGGCCCACGAAGATGGAGTGGTAGTGAACGGTGGAAGTAATTGAGTGTGAGATTTTATAGGTCTTTTTTATTTATAAATTATTTAATTTTTCCATTTTTATTCAACGTGACTTCAAACTCGTACTTGAAACATATTTTGTTCTGTGTTGTTTTAAATGTTTATATTACTTGTGTTCCCATTGAGTGTTTTTGTGTGATTGTTTTTCTTTTCCTTTTTTTTCTTTGTGAGATTTTTTTAATCTTCAATTTATAGAACTCTTACTATTTGAGAGAAACCCTTCATATTAATGATCTCAATCTCATGCAAGATGTTGATGGTTGGAGTAGATGACAGTGGGTTGAATAGTTTAACAAATATAAAAATGAGACTGATTATGTGGACAAAGAAAAATGATGATTTTTTTTGTGTGTATTGAAATAACAAATGAAAAAAAGGTTAAAAATGAAAAGAAAATATGAGTATTTTATATAAAAAAATAAACTAAAAAAAGAGGAAAAAAATATAAATAAAAATTATATAAGAAAATAAAAGATTATATTTATTATAAATGAAAAATTAAAAACGGAACGGATAAAAAATAAAAATTTTATTTATATTAAAAATATTCTTTATTTAATATTAAAAAATTAATTATGGTATATAAAAAAAATAGAATGTTTATTTTTATGGGAGGGGTTTGGGGATTGTGGCCACCCATTATTCCCTCGTAAATCCATACCTAACGTAAGTGTAAAGTAAAATGTGGCATATAAGAGTCAAAATAAGATCAATTGTCCATAAAAACGCTTACAATTAAGGGATGTATCTCTGATCAAAGGCACCTGACAATAACAAACAAAAAATGTCTATAAATAAGCATCCATACTTCCAATGCTAACAATAGTAACCATTTTTGGTTGTCACTGATTATGTGTTTCAAAACCTCCAACCACTATTATCTAAAGGTGACGGTCACACCTTTTTGTTGAACGTAACTCAAACATACTCACCGATCATACTGCTCTAAAACTAATAATGGAATATATTATTGGATTATATATTAAATACAATAATTAATAATTCATGTAGGAATTTATTATATGTCTTTTCAAATTTTTATATAATCATGTAAATTGAGAGTTGTGTAGATATTAATTTATTAAAGACTATTTTTTTTTCTACAAGTAAAACCAAAGTATCTAATGCTCTATGTGTACATGCGCAGAGATAGTTCATTAGATTGATTGCTCTATTTAAGAAGGAGCAAATATTAGGTAAAATTTTGGAAGGTCTTTGTTCCTCTTCGTTTTTTCATGGCTACTTCCTTACATAAATTGCCTTCTGAAATACTTAATAATGTTCTATATAAGTGGCAAAAGGTTCAATGTTTCGTATGTAATAAACACGAGGATTCGTGGCATCGATTCTTCTCTTACTCCTTTTCTCATTTTTTTTATGACCAACATTTTGGTCTTTGTAATAATAATATTTCTTTAAAAAATGCTTCTTTTGACTTTGTCTAGTCTTTCCGACCAAAGGTAAGAGATTTCCATCATAATTACTTGTATTCTATCAATGGTTTTAGTTAGTATAAATATTATTAACATGATCTATAAGAAGATTAATAAATTAAATATTTCATTATAAATTAGAGATTCTCTTTATTTTTGCATTTTCTTCAATTGCTACAATATCTGTGGAATAGTTCTGTTTTACATATAAGAGTTTGATTCTTTTTTTAGATATAAGTGCTCATGAAGATTTTTCTGGTCGTCATGTAAATTATTGTGATATTTCCCTGCAATAACTTCGATGTATGAAATAGTCATAAGAAAAGAATATATATATGCGCGCGCACGCGCCATTCCACACGTCCAGGTTTACTTTATGTTATGGCAGCAGGAAACAGCATACTTCACAGCTTACAAGGACCATCAAATTTGAGTTAAGAATGAAGATTAAAAAATAAAATAGGACCTAATAAAAAATTAATTTTATATATAATTAATTATTAGTATTTTAAGAGTTAACGAAAATATAATAATAATAATAATTTTATATAATATTTTAATAAATTGTAAAGCAATTTGAATTCACTATGATTCCTCCAAGTCACGTCCTCTGTCCCCCTGTTGCCACAAACATTTAGTATTGATATATTTTTTAAATGCTATAAATTGTAGCTTATAAAAATTAATTTAATTTTTATTAAAAAAATCTCATTTAAACATATCTAAAACCTTATTAAACATGAATGATTATATATAAATTGATTGTGAGTATGGCATCTTCTACATCCACTTGAATTGCCACCTTTGATTAACTTATACACTCCATAATAAGAGAATTTCATTTCATAGTTAATGACTTTAGAGTGGATATTAGGTTGTGAAACATTTTTACTAGCTAAATCAATAAAAGTTTTGTTAGATATTATTTGATAGGCAAGTCAATCATTTTTGAGATCTATTGTAAAATTAGGTCGAGTTGTCATGAAATCCAGATTGATAAATTACTATTAAACCTGTGTGACAACAAGAATACGTGGAAATATGCCTCTTCAAACAAAAATAATTAATAGAAATATTATTTTTATTAAAGAGTCAAACAAAAATATTTAATATATTTTTTTAGAAAGATATTTAACCTAAGTTTCGTTCATTTTTTAGTCTCAGTATTAGATTGACTTCAGTTAACAACCACTTTTAGAAAGTTTTTACCTATTATACCTATCAAGTAGAGGTGTTCAAAATCAAATATAAAGAAAGAAAAAATCAAAATCATTTTTTTTGAATTTTTTTAATAGGAATTTTTAAAATCAGTTCGTTCGTTTAATTTTTTATTTAATACTAAAATAATAATATATATGACTGAAATTAAAACATAAAATGATATTTATGACGAGTGAGTCATTAATTTCTTATAATCGATATTATTATTTAAATTGAATATATATATATAAACAAATTAAAAATATAAATATCATAATTAATTATACATAATATTTTTATAATTTATTTTTTTATTTAATAATTATTTATTATAATATATTTAATAATTTTATAATAAAAAAATTACAAAAAATCTTTAAACAAAAATATAAAATTTTGACTTAGTTTTATTTGAATTAAAAAAATAAAAAATAAAAATAAAAATAGATAATTTTTTAATATAAAATCGAACCAAATCATATCACGAATCCATATTAACTAATAAGAGCACTCTTAATAAAAATTAGGAAAAGATCATATTTTAGATGCGATAACCAAGGAGTTGATACAATATTGTATCTTTAAAACTCCATTATATAGTGAATTTTATTAAAAAAAAAAATCTAACTTAATTTTATAAAATCAATTTTTAAAATATATTTTATATTTTATTTATGTACCAATTTATATATATATAACTGAGATCTCAACAAAATTGAGATTTTTTATATATTGACATAGTCTATAATTATCACAAGATAATTAGGAGACCGCTTGTGATACCATAGAAACCTCAGCTTGACCAACAAACTTCGCGACATTAGAAAGAATAACTTAAGCCCAATTTATGGTTTAGTCAAAATTGAATTTTCATACCCGTGTGTTTGGATAAATAATTTCTTGAAGATTTTTTTTATAATGAATTTAAAATGCTTTATAATAAAATATGTTGTTTGGGTAAAGAATCTTAAAACAAATTCAAATTTTAAAAATTAATGAAAATAATTTAATTAATTAAAGTAAAATTTTAAATTACACTTAAAAAATAAAAAAATTATACTCTTTAATTTTTTATTTTATTTTTATATTAACTTCTTATTTTTTTTCAGTCAACTTTGATTTAGAAATATTTTTTTCGATATAGATAAGGGTTTTAATATTAGAATTTGTTTGAGTATATTTATAAGTTACACATTATTTAGAGTGAAGATATATATTATTTTCTTTTAATTTATTGAGATATTTTTAAAAAATAAGATTGTAACGAATTAAAGTGAAAAAAATTTTCAAAATACACGAAATAGATTTATTTTTATGCAAGGAATGAGAAAACTTTAACTATGATGGTTTTCACAAATATTAATAGATTTTTTTTTAGCCCGCATCGATAGAAAAATAAAAAATATGAAACCTACATATAACTTTGATTAATGTTAACTATAATAATATGGTTAACACCACTAAAAGATAATCTCGACTAAAAAAATGTTGTTGGCATGAGTTAAATAAAACCTCAAACATCTAGTCAAACAATTTTTATTTATTAATTATGTATTAATGTTAAAATAAATTATATATAAAAAATAAAATTCAATGAATTTGAATTATTGTATGAAATATTTAAAAATAAAAAATAAAAATTAAAACCACTTAAAGTTTTGAAAATTATAAAATTCTTATTCAAATACATAATAATAAAATGTTGTAAGTTGAACAAAGTTTATGTGTGGAGAATGAAAGAGGGTCCACCAACATGGAAATATTTGCGGCAGGATCAGTATGAATGCCTGTACATGTCATTCATTATCTATAAACACAAACTCATTCATTACCTAAACGTTCAATTACAATTATAAGTGTAGAAAAACTTAAAACAACATTCCTCACAAGAGCTTATAATTTAAATAATAAACATATAATTTTTATCTTTATCTTGACAACACCTTTAACATTTTCCACACATATTATGAGTTTCATGGAAAATGAAACCAGTTTTATACAAATATTATTGGTGACCAAAACGTAGCAACCACGCGAGAGAAAAATGATGGAAAGTCACATGGACGAAAATGCGTACAAATTGGGCATTGTTGAGTGCTATTCATTATAAATGTCTTCCTCGCGTTCTAAACTTCCATTGTTTCCCTCCTTTCATAACTTCAAAATCCATTTGTTTTCATAACCCATTGCAGGTCTCGTTAAGGAGGACGAGAGAATATATAATTCAAATTCATTGGAAGCATCGATCATCACTTCAAAGGTACACCTTAACTTGTACACTATCTATTTATTATCGTTTTATAACATATAAAATACGATATAATTAGTATTTTACTTTCATTAAATATATATTTAAACAATTAAATCATCAATATCCACTTAAAATATACGCGTATGGATGTATGTGGGTAGCGACAATACCAATACTTACCTATCTCGTTGCCACATGCCACCATACTTGAAACCACTATTATTTGTATTCAAATATTATATTTAAATATTGCTCAGTAATAAAAAAAAAACAACAATTCGGATACAAATATATTATTTTTTAAGTAAATCCGTGATATATAGAAAGTTAATCCAGGGAATAATGACTTCTTAATATATATAATAAATATAATACACTTATTAAAAAATGGAATGTCACAATATTGTTTATCTTGATTAACACATTTTATTTATATATTGAACTTTGAATTTTAAAAAATTAATTTACTTTATATAATATAACATAATCTTACGGGCAATAAGTGTTTTTCCTATTATATTTTCACCATTTCTCACACAGTTTAATAGTATTAATATATTTTTTTAATTAGACAAAATTAAAATGCTCCTGACGTACAATATGCTATTTATTTTATAATAAAATTAATTTTGATGAATAACAATTAACATGCATCTTTACAATCTTACATTAATTTGACAAAACTTTTGAAAACTAAGTTAATTTCTAAAATATTTAAATTTTGGTTATATTATTTCTACATGGTTTTCTTTAACGTATCCTTTTCAGCTTCGAATATAAATATTTTGTGTGTGTTGTTTTTACATGCAGCTAACAACGTTGATTATTTTTTTCTGCCATTCATAGTTTGTTCCTCGCTTAAACAAGAGAAAGAACGTGAAAGTTGGTTATAAAGTATTCATGGAAGAGACAACACAACGAGTTGCCTTTCCAATGATCAATGGTCCCTTCGGTGTTCCTGAAAAACCAGACTTCAGTGTTGGGTTGGATGCACCATTGAGGAAGGCGAAGATGGAGCTTCTGAACGAACCTGTATCCACCATTCTGGTGACTGGTTTTGGAGGATCTGGGAAAACCACTTTGGCTACTATGCTTTGTTGGGATGAACATATCAAGGGTAAGTGGTAACTCCTTTTTGGTTCTCTGCTTTCATAAACGAACTAACTATAGTTCCCATATGTTAACAAAAAAGACATAAAAATGTTTACACTAGAAATTTGCAAAACATCATATGCTACGTACGTAATATAAATAGAAATTTTGTCAGCAACATACATATTTCTGAATTGCTTATATATAATGTCACATTTTCTTTTTCTCTTTCGCTTTATGTAATTTAGATACCTCTCAATTTCAATGGGATGAAATGTTATTGTTACATTAAATTGTGAAAGGAAGAGTGAAAAGAAGAGAAAGTGAGTTATAATAATTGATAAAAGAAAGAGATAGACACATAAAATATTGCATACATATATTTAATTCTTCTACATATTTAATTGTTGACATGTAAGGAATAATGTGAAAATAAAGCATCATGTTTTATTAAGTGTACTTGGCTCATTATCCCCGACATGAGGTTTGTTGGTAATTATTTTCAGCGTGGTCTTATCTTCTTCAAGTAATTGCTTGAATAAGCAATCGATTCTTATTTGTGGATGTGAAAACTTCTATGATGCAAACTTGCTTATTAAGAAAAGTAACTCACATATGCACCTTTAAATCAACGGACAATATAATAGGCATTTTCTATTTTTCTTTTCAAATGCTTATTTAATAGAGTAAAGAAAAATAACTATACTCTTTGTTGTTTAGTGTTCATTTAGTAATTTAGTAGATACTTAATATGATTTAATTTGATTTTAATTTTTTTACATTTTAAATTTAACAAGGTAAATTCAGGGAAAATATATTTTTTGTTACCCTCTCCAAAACGCCCGAGTTGAAGATCATTGTGGGAAGAGTATTTGAACACCTTGGCCATCAAGTTCCTAAGTTTGAAGACGATGAAGAGGCAATTAATGAATTGGGAATTTTACTGAGGAAATTGGAGAGAAGCCCAATGTTGTTGGTTCTGGATGATGTTTGGCCTGGTTCAGAAGATCTCGTGGAGAAATTTAAATTCCATTTAGCAGATTATAAAATTTTGGTTACTTCAAGGGTTGCGTTTCCAAGATTTGGCACACCATGTGTCTTAAAACCACTCGTTCTGGAAGACGCTATGACCCTTTTCCGTCACCATGCTTTCTTGGATACCAACCGTTTAAAAACTGTTCACGGAGATGTAATCCAAAAGGTGCTTCTTCTTACTTTCTGACTTATAATGCCACTTCATGTTCTTATGGCAGTCATTTTAAGAGAAGTTTAAAAATAATAATTTAATTAGTGTTTTAATGTAAAATTACTTACTAAATTATTGTAATAAGTTTTTCTTGATTTTTTTAATTAAAAATAAAATCTACTTATTCTTAGACCTTCAGTAATATTTTATTAATGCACTGAATGCAGGTTGTGGAAAGTTGCATGGGATTACCACTTGCTATTAAAGTGATTGGAAGGTCACTGAGTCATGAAGCTAATGAGTTATGGCAAAAGATGGTGTTGGAATTGTCACATGGCAATTCCATACTTGATTCTAACACTGAATTACTAACCTACCTCCTGAAGATCTTAGATGTACTGGAAGATAATAGAGTCATCAAAGAGTGCTTCATGGACCTAAGCTTATTTCCTGAAGACCAAAGAATTCCTGTTACTGCTCTCATTGATATGTGGGCAGAGTTGTATGGACTAGATAATGACGGCATAGAAGCAATGGTCATTATCAACAAATTAGACTCCATGAATCTGGCTAATGTCTTAGTAGCAAGGTGAAATGAACATTTTCTTCTCAACCACTTCATAGTAAATAACATGAATCATTCTCCAGAATAAATAATACATATGCAAGAAATAGGTTCCTCGTATGTATATTAATATTCTAAACTTCAGCATTATTTAAGCTTTTTCCTTTTGTCAAAAATTTAAACTTTGCATTATGCAATTTGGCATTATTTCATGTTATTATTATAAGCTTGTTTTGAGGAAAAAAAATAAAAAAAATACATTTGCTATCTACCTCATAAAGAGCATGCGTACTTTCAATTTTTTGCAAGAAAATTTCTCTCTAAAAAATTACTTTCTGCTAATTTAACAGGAAGAACACAAGTGACACAGACAATTATTACTACAATAACCACTTCATCGTCCTTCATGATCTTCTAAGAGAGCTGGCAATTTATCAAAGCACTCTGGAACCAATTGAAGAGAGAAAAAGACTGACTGTTGACACAGATGAAAATCAAAGTGAATGGGGGCTTGATGAGAAGCAACAAGGCATTGTGACCCGCATATTGTCAAATTGTTTTAAATATTGTGTTAAACAGAAACCTCAACGGATCACTGCTCGCACATTGTCCATATCAATTGGTTGGTATTCCGTGTGGACATATTTACTTACAAAGAAAATGTGTTCCTCTTCAATTGACATCGATCATAAGGGTTGCTTTGCTTTTGCAGATGAAAGTTGTTCTTCATATTGGTCACACATGCATCCAGCTCAAGCAAAGGTTCTAATTTTAAATCTCCGAGGAGCTAATCAGTACTCCTTTCCAGAATCCATGCAGAAAATGAGCAAACTTAAAGTTCTGATAATCACAAATTACAATTTCCATCCTTCTGAGCTGACCAATTTTGAGCTACTTGGGTCTTTATCCAATCTGAAAAGAATTAGATTAGAGAGGATTTCTGTTCTTTCGTTCGTCACTCTGAAGACTCTGAAGAAATTATCCCTCTACAACATGAGTCATGGCTTTCAAAAGGGTATCATCCTAATTTCAGATGCATTTCCAAACCTAGTGGATCTAAACATTGACTATTGCAAAGATATGGTTGTGTTGCCAAGTGGGTTGTGCGATATTATCCCACTGAAAAAGCTCAGTGTTACTAATTGCCACAAGCTCTTAGCACTGCCTCAAGAAATTGGAAAGTTGGTGCATTTGGAACTGCTAAGGCTCACTTCTTGTACCGATTTGGAAGGGTTGCCAGAATCTACTGGAAGGCTTTCAAATCTAAGGCATCTTGACATCTCAAACTGCATAAACCTTTCTAATTTACCAGAGGACTTTGGAAATTTGTGTAATCTAAGAAATCTCACCATGATAAATTGTGCAAGGTGTGAATTGCCTTACTCAGTAATCAATCTTGTGAATTTGAAGGTAGTGAGTTGCGATGAAGAGACAGCTGCTTCATGGGAAGGGTTCAAAGCTATGCTTCCGAATCTACAGATAGAGGTGCCTCAAGTTGATGTTAACTTAAACTGGCTTCATTCAGTTTGCTCTTAAGCCTCTTTCTTTGAATATCTATTCGATCATTGGTCCTGTCACGTGTGTAATCTTTTATTTCCTGCTGAATAATCATATATATAATCAAAGTGTAATAATAATCCTCCACGTGTTTCTTCAAGTTGCTCTGGTAGTATTTGCACGTTTACTGTAAATACTGTCACTTGAAAGAGGTAGAAGATTCCATGTATATGTTGTATTGTATGTGATGTCATGGGTAGAGAGATACATGGTTTTATGTTTCCAACAAAATTATCATTATTTTCTTGTTTTTCGGACTTAAATTTGTGTACATTGTGTTTGAATTTTCCAAAATCTTACAAGACCTGAAGCAGACTAATAAGGAGATTATAAGTAGTAGGAAAAAATGATTCTACTACACACTAAGCACCTCCTTCGTATAGGTTGAGTAGAAACAATAAATTAACTCATGAAAGAGTAGTTTGGTTAAAGTAAAACAGATTTTTACCTAGGTTAAAATAATCAACCAACCAGTTTTATACAATTCAATTTTATAAATAATATATTTTAAAAAAATATTTAAATAGAATATCTCTATACTTATTAATTTTATTTACCCTATTACACTTGGTATGTAAATAATGAAAAATAAATTCATCTAATTTAATATAGTTTTTTTTTCTTCTTCCTTATTCATTTACATATTTTTCTTTTTTTTTTAATTTAATTTTTGTTATTTTTTTTCTTTATCTTTATTTAGTGTCTTTTTTTTTATCTTTCCTCATTTTTTTCTTCTTTTCTTATTTCATCTTATCATTCAAATAAAAATAATAGATCAAAATTTGATAAAATAAGTGTTTTATTATTTTTAAAAATTAAAATATCTCAATAATCTAAAATACTATAATTTAATATATTATATTTTAAAAATATTATATAATAAATTTTAGTTATTAAAAATATTACTTTTATGTTATAATTATTAAGAAAAAATGTAATATTTATTTTAAAGTAATTTTTTAATAAATATTTTTTTAAAATTATCTGATATAATTTATCATCGTAACTCAATTATAACTAGATTAAATTATTAAGTAAAAATTATACTTAAATATTTGATATTTTTAATTAGATAAATAACTATTTATTAAGATAAAATAATTTTAAATTAATTATTTACATCATCTTAATTATTTATTATCATGATTTTAAATAAATAATTAATATAATTTTAATTTTAATTTTGATTTAAAAATATTTATTTTAATATATTTTTATTAAATTTTAATATACTAATTTAATTAAAAAAATAAGTAGGAGTGGTGACCCAAAAATAAGAGACATGATAGAAAAAAGTGAATAAAAAAATAAAATAAAATAAAAAATCATGTAAATAAAAAAATAAAAATGATATATAAAAATAAATAGTCTAATTGAATAAATAAATATTTTTTTAAATATATTATTTATAAAATTGATATTTTTATACATCAAAATATCAATTCGTAAAGGAAAAATGATAAATAATCGAATATAGAGATATAATATAAAAAAAATTGAAATTTCTCTGGTTCCTATAACTATAGGCCAATTGTGGTAAGTGAATTTATACAGTAATTGAAAATGGAGATATAAAAAGAAAAATAAAAAAAATCGTACCTCTAATTATTTCCTGTGACTGTAATCATAATGGAGAGGTAACGACGACAACGATAAGCTAACGACAGTTAGCGAAGTTGACAGAGATAGGGAGAAAAATAATATGACATTTAGAAATTGAAGGAAAAGACATTAGGATTTTTTTAATTAAAATTAATAAAAATATCAATACTTAAAAATAAAATTAACATTTGACTTAAATTATAACCCAGCTAACTCAATTAAAATATCTTCATTAAAATACAGAATGAGTCAGCTAAGTCGATTCTAAACTAAACCCACAATAAGATAAGTTTATTTCATATATCTAATAAAATATTCATCGATTCAACGGATGTTATAATAATAATAATAAAAATTGAATATATTTAGAATTTGTGTCGACTAAATTGATGGATAAAAAACATATTCAAATTTTGATAATATATAAAGCTTTATAGTCAACCTAACAATAAAATAAATAAATTAAAATTAATAATTGCGTTGAGTAAGCCAACTCTAATATATAAAAAAATATTAAAATATCATAATGACTTATTTATTGTTAAGAACTTGTCAACCAAAACTCTCATATGATATGAACAAGTCTAAACAAAAATACTGAAACTCGCAGCGAAATTGATAGATTAAAATTGGAAGGGAAATTATATTTGAGATTCTTTACATATAAGCTTATAATAAACTTGAAGTTTCTAAACCTCTCATCTGTCATCATAAATTTGAAGTTTCGTAAATTGAGTTACTAAAAACAAAACATGCATAAAAAAATATGCAACATTAACGAATTTCACTAAGACTAATTCAAAAGTCAAATTTTAAATAACAATAATAAATCTCTAACATGTTATATCTCAATTAAATCAAAATTTCGAATAAAATACGTTTTTATTGTTTCAATTATTCATGTGGTTAAATCAATAATATTGTTTTGAAAGAGTTTTTTAATCTCCTTTGTGTAACATTAAAAAATGTACAGTTCAAAAGAATATCTTTACCATTATCGTACCTTTCTTTTCTTTTGCTGGTAATAAATTATTATATATTTCCCTTTAGCTGACACATTTCATTGCTCCACAACTTTATTTTTCGTTGAATTGATGTCACGTGACTAGTTCAACTATTATCAATGAGTTCAATATTCCATTTAAGTCAATTGAATTTTTATACTATAAATAAATATTTACCATTGTTGTAGTCTTCTTCAATCATATTGTCCTATTTTCTAATTGTTTCTTAAACTAAAATTTTCTTCTTTCTAAACTATTTTTTCGTCGTGACCTATTACAAGAAAATAAAGTGAAAAATAAATTTATTTTCATCAACATGATTTCTTCCGCTATAACGAGAATAAAGCAAAAACTTTAATTTTGTAATAATAAATTCCTAATTTTCTCATTAATTTTAGACGCATGATGTTCGCCTATATGTCATTTGACTTTCATTTACCCTAAACTCTAAATATTTATATGTAAATTATAATAATTATTTTAAATGAGAACGTTTCATAAATTATTTTAAATATAACTCTTAATTTTATATTAAAAAAATATGAAGATCAAAAGTGACTTTTTTAGGGTATCCCTTTTTAAATAAAAATGAGTCATCCGATGCATAAACATTAGCTTTGGAAAATGCGGCGAATTGACGAATTTCAATCCATATCTCTTTTTCTTTGAATAAGTGGTCAACCGTGCCGCGAAATCTAGAGAGAGAAAGAGAGAATGGCGCGAACACGTTCACAAGGTGGGAATGAAAATTTCCAACAAATCACAACGTAGTAAGTAGCCAACCAAATTCTGAGACCAAACTAGTTCTCGGATTCAGATTTCGCTAGAAAAAACACACATTCTGGGTGATTTTGGAACTTCATCTGCGAGTATTATACTATGATGAATTTCATTCTTGTAAAACACGAAATGCATTTTAAAATGTTTTTTAAGCCATGATGGTTCATCACGTAAGCGAAACCTTTAACTATTTTTCATATATATTTCATTAATAATCTCATCCGTTAATTTTTAGCTGTTAATTTTCTCTTGAAAAGTAAAGTTGGAATCTTGTGTGGTGCAATGAATGATCTCGCGTCTTTTCTATTGTTACTATTATTTTAACTCTTTCGCGGTGGCAAAGAAGAAGTAAAACACGCATAGGTACGTGTTTGATCAACACAATTAAACTAAAACACGTTTGCATGGCTATAAATATGTGAGTCTTACGATTCAAACCAATCTTTCAACTGCAGTTCACCATACAAGAACTTCTTTCACAATATATTTCAAAATTTGATTCTGCTCCTACGTTTGCAGCACTCATCGACAAGAAGGTAGCACCAGAAAAACACATCGCTCGACATTTCAATTAATTAAGGTATATAGTTGTGTGTCGCATGTTTATTACTGCAATAATTTTTTTTACTTTATTCCCAAGATTCTTTCCTTTGTCTTACTACAATTTCCCAAAATGTTCTCTTCGATGGAATATATACATGCATATATTTATAAATTGATGCTAGGAAGTGGATTCTTTCGACCTCCTAATGAACCTCTAATGAACTCTTTTTCATTTTCTTTATGTTGAAAAGTTAGTTTAGCCTTTCACGAATCAGCTCTACACATTTTTTTTAACTGTATTTAACCATACATATAATTATATAAAGGTTAAATTAAAACTTTAGTCCCCGCATTTGATACTATTATATTTCGTTTTAATCCTTGCATAAAATATATTTGTCCATATCAATCACTGATTTGCCGAAATTATAACAATATCAGAATATTTGTTTCATGTAGGCATAATATATATACCAACCAAAATGCATGTTTCTTTCTTTCTTTTCCGTGTAGAACGGAAAGTAACGTGAGGGATCTTTTGTGTTAGTTGGAACTAAAACAAGAAATAGTGCAAAGTAAAATAATCAAATCAAACACTGTCCTGGTTTCAACAAATGACGGGTTGATTCATAAATGTTTTTTTTTATAGAGCTCAAAAATATTGAGTTTTCCAGTTTTTCCCAAATAACGGTAGACAAACAAGTATCTAAATAAAACACTCTGTATATTATCACTTGATATGTTTGCAATGAGTGATGTATGGTCAATTTATAGGTCCTTTGGATATGACCTCTCAACTACATGCATTTAATACAACTACTATCTTTCAACTACATACATTCAATACAACAACTACCTCTCAACTACTACCTCTATAATAGGCATGGCAACGGGCGGGCGGGGCGGGTTTTGTCTCCCGTCCCCGCCCCCAACTTTTTTAACCATCCCCGTCCCGCCCCGATCCCGCCGGTTAGGAATTAAGTCCCCATCCCCGTCCCGTCGGGTTTCGGGTTCCCGCCCCGTCCCCAATTTATATTATTTTTAAAAAGATAATTATATTTATAATAAATTAATTTTACTATGTATTTTTATATATAAATAAATATTTATAATTTATAGTTATTATTAATTAAATATACATTTTAATTTATTATATTTATATTAAAATATATATGTAAAAGAAATATTTAATTATTTTTTATTTATATATATATATATATATATATAATATTTATAACATTATTATTATTATTATTATTATTATTATACACTGTATTCAAATATTTGAATATTTATAACATTATTATTATAATATCGTATTCAAATATTTAATTATACATATAAGTTAATTCATTTTTAAGTTGTCAATATATAGTTTATAAGAAAATATTTAATAAGTTAATTCTTATTTAATTAGTTTGAAGTAATAAAAGTTTAAATTATTAATTTCTTTTAATCCTTTAAAATGCAATTATTTTATTAAGATAAAATTCGATATATGATAAATAAGCATAATAAGATAAAAAAATATGGCATAATAAATATAAATTATAAATAAACTAATATTAGTTACTACTAAGATTGATGTAAAATATTTAGAAAAAGATAAAGAAAAAATATTAACTTTGTGTTCATCAAATTGGTTGAAAAGATTGAAAAAAAAAACAAATTGATGGGAGAGACTAAGGAAATGTGAAAAACTGAAAGATAAGGGAGAGAATAATATAATAAATTAATTGATATAAAAGATTGAGAAAGATAAAAAAAATTAAAAAGTGGGTAGAAGAAAAATAAAAATTGGTGAAATATAAAAAAATAACCTTATATGTAATAGAAAAAGAAAATGAAATACTTTTAAAATATTAATATTTTAAAATTTAAATTTAAATATAAAGTCGGGGCGGGACGGGGCGGGGTCGGGGTGGGGATTGCATTACCCATCCCCGCCCCCGCCCCCGACTTTTTAAAGCGGGGAAAACCCGAACCCGACCCCGTCCCCGGTCAACTCGGGGTTTCCCCGTCAAACTCGGGGCGGGGATGGGTCGGTCCCCACGGTTACGGGTTTAATTGCCATCCCTACTCTATAACCACTACCTCTCAACTACATGCATTTAATGTTTACCTAACAAAATCCCCCCATAAACTTAAATGCTTTTCTTGTCCTTCATTCCAAGCATCTTCTTGTTGTTCTCGAACAGAGTGGTTGACAGTGGCTTCGTGAACATATCTGCAGCTTGTGTTTGGGTTCCGACGTGCTCTAACTCCACATTTCCTTCTTTCACTTGTTCTCGGATGAAGTGAAATCGAACATCAATATGTTTGCTTCTCTCATGATTGACCGGATTCTTTGCCAATTCAATGGCCGACTTGTTATCAACTCGAATCACAGTCCCTCTTTCTTGCTTCAACTTCAGCTTGCTTAGAAGGTTTCTAAGCCAAACTGCAAGACACTCCAAGATGTTGCAACGTACTCGGCTTCACAAGTTGACAACGTTACAATGGGCTGCTTTTTTGAAAGCCAGGTGAATGCTGTGTTTCCCATGAAGAATACATATCCAGACGTGCTTTTCCGGTCATCAACATCTCCACACCAGTCACTATCCGAGTAGCCTACTAGTCGATAATCATCCGTCCTAGTATACATTAGGCCAAGTGACATTGTTCCTCTCACATACCTTAGAATTCTCTTTAGTGCCTTCCAATGAGTATACCTTGGCTCCTCCATATATCGACTTGCTATTCCAACACTTAACATTAAATCTGGTCTGATATTTGTAAGATACCTAAGACTTCCAATCAGACTTCGGTATTTGCTCGCATCAACTCGGTCTCCATCTGCATACTTAAAAAGTTTTGTACCAGGTTCCATAGGGGTGGAAACTGGGTTGCAACTTGTCATCTTAAACTTCTTCAAGATCTCCTCAGCATACCTTTCCTGTGACACAAAGATGTCATCCTTTCCCTGAACAACTTCTAAGCCAAGAAAATACTTCATAAGACCCAAGTCAGTCATCTCAAACTCCTTCTTTATTACTTCTTTAAACTCTTCAATTAGCTCGGCATTATTCCCCATGAAGATAAGATCATCAACATATAGGGAAACAAACATCACATCTTCTCCTTTCTTCTTTATGTATAGAGCATGTTCATAAGGACACTGCTCATATCCATTCGTTTTGAAGTAAGTGTCAATTCTTTCATTCCATGCTCGTGGAGCTTGTTTCAAGCCATAAAGTGCCTTCTTCAATCTCAGCACTTTCTTCTCTTCTCCTCTTCGCATGTATCCGAGTGGCTGTTCAACATATACTTCCTCCTCCAAGATTCCATTCAGAAATGCCGACTTCACGTCCATCTGCAAGATTGTCCATCTGTGTTGAGCTGCTAAGGAAATTAACAACCTAATTGTTTCCATTCTCGTCACTGGGGCGAATACTTCGTCATAGTCTATTCCTTCTTTCTGCTTGTACCCCTTCACTACGAGTCGAGCTTTATATCGTTCAACTTCTCCTTCAGCATTTGTCTTCTTCTTGTACACCCACTTTACGCCGATAGGTCGTGCTCCTTTGGGCAAATCAGTTAGCTCCCATGTGTTGTTGCGTTCTATTGCTCCGATCTCCTCGTCCATTGCCTTTCTCCACCTTTTCTCCTACACGGCCTCTTCAAAACTTAAGTCTTCGAATCTGCCAAGAGACATACAACATGCACTTCGTCAGTGGAGTTGTATATATCTTGTAAACTTCGCGCTCTGGGTTGTAGAGGTTCATCTTCTTCATCAGAAGTCTCATGATCTCTCACAGTATGTGGTGTATCAACTTCCGAGCTTCTACTTCCTATGGACTCCTTCTCTGGGTTGTTCCAACTCCACTCGCTTTCTTCATCAATTTGAACATCTCGGCTCATGATGACCTTCTTAGTTATTGGGTTAAACAACCTGTACGCCTTGGTTTTTTCATCATACCCAATAAACACGTACTTTTTGCTTCTATCTTCGAGCTTGGTCCTCTGTTGAGCTGGAACATGACCATAAGCTATGCTACCGAACACTTTAAGGTGAGACACACTCGGTTTTCTTCCACTCCAAACTTCTTGCGGTGTCTTCTCGTTCAGCTTAGCATGTGGACATCTATTTTGCACATAGATGGCACATTGCACCGCTTCGCCTGTAACTCCTTTGACACGTTTTTGCTTCTCAACATTGTTCGAACCATGTCAAGAATGGTTCGATTCTTCCTCTCGGCAACTCCGCTTTGTCGGGGTGAGTATGGTGCCGTCGTAAATCTCCTTATCCCTTGCTCCTCGCAATACTTCATGAGTTCGGATGAAATGAACTCACCTCCTCGATCGGACCTAACAGATTTGATAGGCATGTCAGTCTCTTTCTCAACCATTGCTTTAAATCTCTTGAACACCTCAAACACCTCGGATTTCTCCTTCAAAAAATATACCCAGGTTTTTCTTGAAAAATCATCTATAAAAGAAATGAAATACCTTTTCCCACTGAAGGACTCAGGGGTAATCGGTCCACAAATATCTGTGTGAATCAATCCGAGTTGTTCCTTTGCACGGTACTCGGCCGTCCTCGGAAATGAGGTCCTCGGATGCTTCCCGAGCACACACTCTTCACATAATTTCTTTTCAAATTTCATAGACGGGAGTCCTCGCACCATCTCTTTCTTTACCAACTCAGTCAGTCCGCCAAAATGCAAGTGGCCAAATCGAAAGTGCCACATCATTGCTTCATCCTTCACGTCAACTTTCAAACACCTCTCTTGGACTATCTTCAAGTTCAACTTGTACATTCTGTTCTTCTTCTTTTCTACTCGGGCAATCAAACGATCCGACTTGTCCTTCAGGTATAGTACTCGGTTTTTCATCAGAACCGAGTAGCCTTTCTCCATCAGCTGACCCATACTCAATATGTTGCTTTTGAGATCGGGTACATAGTACACGTCTCTGATTTCTCCAACTCGGCTATTCTTCTGCAGGTACAAGATTGTACCTCTGCCTTTTATTGCCACCTTTGATGCATCTCCAAATGACACGTGTCCGACCTCAACTTTAGTGAGCTTCTTAAAAAGGTTTTCGTCCCCGCACATGTGGTTACTTGCTCCTGTATCAAGATACCAAACCGAGTTGTCAGAACAGCTCGGACTTAGCTCGACATCCGAACTTCTTGACATCATCAATACTCCTTCTTCCTCAGTGTCCTCAGAGAGGAGGTTTGTCTCCTTCTTCCTCTCAGATCGGCAGTCCTTCGCGAAATGCCCAACCTTTCCACAATTATAACATTTGATACCTGAATAGCAGTCCTTAGCAAAATGACCGTACTTCCCACATTTGAAGCACTCAACTCCGAATTGCTTGATCGACCACCTCGGCCTCTACCGTCACGACCTCTACCTTGTCTTCGGCCACGCCAGCTTTGTTGACCGATCGGCTCCTTGCCTCTTTCATATTCTCCTCTCGCCTCTACCACCTCGGCCTTGAGTGTTCCGAGCATAAGGAACCTTCTTCTCCTTTAAGGTTGCCTTTGCTTGGAGTGCTTGATCAAGGGACTCCTCTTTCTTCTTCCTTCTCCGCCGCTTCATGCGCTTCAAGCGACCCGCAAGCTCTTCCACCGAGAGCACCGACAAGTCCTTGGACTCTTCTATTGCACAAACGATATTCTCAAAATCGTCAGCTAACGACCTTAAGATTTTCTCCACCACTCTGCAAGTGGGCAGCTGTCTCTCCATTTCTTCCGAGTTGATTCACCACGGTCTCAACACGGAGATGTACTCGCAACCCCTTCGACCTCTTTCATCCTCATGCTTTCAAGCTCGCCTCTAAGAGTTTGAAGCTCGACTTGCTTCACGCGATTATCCCCTTTATATGCCTTCTCCGAATATCCCACGCTTCTTTTGAAGATTTAACATTTGCTATCTTCTCAAAGCCGGACTCATCAACAGCTCGGTACAGTACGTACAAAGCTGTTTTGTCCTTTACTCGTGTTGCTCTCAATGCAGCAAGATGAGCAATCGTCTGCTCTTCAATATTCTCTGGTTCTTGGTGCCCATTTTCGACCACATCCCATACTTCTTGGGAACCAAGGAGAGCCTTCATTTGCAGGCTCCAGTTATCATAGCTTACGCCTTTTGATAACTTTGGTAGGGGCATGTTGTTAGCTAAGTTGACCATCTCAAACAAACTCTCTAACTCTCAAACACTCTCTCTAACGCACTCAGACACTCAAACTCTCAAGCTCTGATACCAATTTGTAGACAAACAAGTATCTAAATAAAACACTCTGTATATTATCACTTGATATGTTTGCAATGAGTGATGCATGGTCAATTTATAGGCCCTTTGGATATGGCCTCTCAACTACATGCATTTAATACAACTACTACCTTTCAACTACATACATTCAATACAACAACTACCTCTCAACTACTACCTCTATAACCACTACCTCTCAACTACATGCATTTAATGTTTACCTAACACTAACTCTCTTATTAATATATACTTGTAGCAAATGAATAAGATAGAATCAGCTAACACGACAAGATTATGCCTTCCCAAATGCATGGATTTGGTATACAATGTTTTCTCTTATTATAATGAAAAAGCATTATGCAACAATGTTGAGTGTCTCTGATTAATTCTCACAACTTGATCCTTGTTTTGAGAAAGAACCCGAAAAGTTGGTTATACATGGAAGAGACTGCACAACAAATCAAGCGTCCTTTTGGAATTCCTGAAAAGCCAGAATTCACTGTTGGGTTGGATGTAGCATTGAGCAAGTTGAAAATGGATGTTCTCAGGGAAGGTGTGTCCATAATCGTGTTGACTGGTTTGGGAGGATCGGGGAAAACCACTCTGGCGACAATGCTCTGTTGGGATGAACAAGTCATGGGTAAGTCGTAACTCTTCTTTGGTTCTCTTCTATAATAAATATTGAGCCATAACAAGTTCTTCTTATAGACTTTTTGTTATTGAGTTCTTCTTATACTTGAGTACATATATAGTATTAGTAACAAAGAAAGGTGAAAAAAGTTTACTGGAAATTTTAGTAGGAATAGGTTAAATAAAGTGCTGCCGAATGCTCTAATTCCGTATTACGTTTCTGAAACGCAAAAATTAGGTTAAAGCAGAGTTCAATCTTAGTGACTGCTGATAGTTTGAAACGTTTTCTTTTGATCATGAGTATTAGTTATGTTCATTTCTGTTTCATGTTCGTTATTTTGTTGCAATACATGCACAGTTTAAGATTATTCTAGAAAGAATCCCCGGGCTTACTAGACTCTTCGGTTTTTCTAGGTAAATTCAAGGAAAATATTTTATTTGTCACCTTCTCTAAAGCGCCTAAGTTGAAGATTGTTGTAGAAAGACTATTTGAACACTTTAGATTTCAAGTGCCGGAGTTTCAAAGCGATGGAGATGCAGTTAATCAATTGGGACTTTTGCTGAGGAAAATTGATGCAAATCCAATGTTGTTGGTCCTGGATGATGTTTGGCCCGGCTCAGAAGCCGTTGTTGAGAAACTTAAATTTCAGATATCAGATTATAAAATTTTGGTGATTTCAAGGGTTGCATTTCCTAGATTTGGCACTTCACTCGTCTTAAAACCTCTTGATCATGAAGATGCAATAACCCTTTTCCGACATCATGCTTTCTTGGAAAAAAGAAGTTCAAATATTCCTGACGAGGATCTTATCCAAAAGGTGCCTGGTCCTTCTTTCTGACATTATACGAGTACTGCTTACATGTTTTATATATGAAGTCAATCATTTGAAATAGATATCATAAGATTCTAAGCCAAAATGACCATTTTCTGAAAACAATAAAATAAAACGTATTTTGACCCCAGAAAAGTGATATTACATTATGGTACACTATTTAAAGCTTTTTAACAAACTAAATTTACTTGCCCTGATATTCAGGTGGTGAGACATTGCAAGGGTTTACCGCTTGCCATTAAAGTGATTGGTAGATCACTCAGTCATCGGTCTATTGAGTTGTGGCAAAAGACAGTGAAGGAGTTGTCACAAGGTCATTCTATACTTGATTCTAACTCTGAATTACTTACTTCCCTCCAAAAGATCTTGGATCTATTGGAAGATAATCCCATCATAGAGTGCTTCATGGACTTAGCGTTATTTCCTGAAAACCAAAGAATTCCTGTTGCTGCTCTCATTGATATGTGGGTTGAGCTGTATGGACTAGATAATTATGGCATAAAAGCAATTGCCACTGTCAACAGATTGGATTCCATGAATTTGGCTAATGTCTTAGTAACAAGGTACATTCACAATGACTACTTATATTTCTTCTCAACTATTTCATCCTATGTAGTTTGTATAGCACCTGAGAGGAGTAGTTAATTCCTCATAAATTTACTTGAGAAAATAAACTTGCAGTATGTAACTTTCAATTTCTAACGTACTTTGAGGACAGAAGTTGAAATCTGTTAGTAATTTATAAAGAGCATGGATTCTTACCTTTAGGGGGAAATTTTTGTCCATAAGGAATTAATTTCTTCTAATTTATCAGGAAAAACACAAGTGACACGGACAGTTATTACTACAATAACCATTTCATCATCCTTCATGATATTCTCAGAGACTTGGCAATTTACCAAAGCAACCATGCCCAAATTGAACTGAGAAGAAGACTGATGATTGACATCAATGAAAATAAACCTGAAGGGTCTCTTGGAGAGAAGCAGCAAGGCATGATGAACCGCATATTGCCAAATAATTTTAGATGGTGTGATGAACGGGAAACCCAACAGATTCCTGCACGGACATTGTCTATATCAACTGGTTAGTTATACCTACAAAGTAAATATTTTAAGGAGAAACTCACTATGACCTATCATTTTTTCCTCTTCTACTGACATCATATTGGTTGCTTTTTGCAGATGAAACTTACACTTCATATTGGCCGCAACTACAACCAGCTCAAGCTGAGGTTCTGATTTTAAACCTTCGAACTAATCAGTACTCCTTTCCAAAGTTCCTGAAAGAAATGAGTAAACTAAAAGTTCTGATAGTCATGAATAATGGTTTCCATCCTAGTGAATTGATAAATTTTGACCTACTTGGCTCTTTATCACACCTAAAAAGAATGAGACTAGAGAGGATTTCTATTCCTTCCTTTGTCACATTGAGAAATCTTAAAAAGTTATCCCTCTACTTGTGTGATACAAGACAGGCTTTTGGAAACTGTGACATGCTAATTTCAGATGCTTTTCCAAATCTAGAGGAATTGAATATTGATTATTGCAAAGATATGGTTGGATTGCCTAAGGGGCTGTGTGATATCACCTCCTTGAAGATGCTCAGTATTAGTAATTGCCATAAGCTTTCTGCATTGCCCCATGAAATTGGAAACTTGGTGAATTTGAAACTTCTGAGGCTAAGCTCCTGTACTGATTTGGAACGGATACCAAATTCTGTTGGAATTCTTTCAAATCTAAGACACATGGACATCTCAAACTGCATAAGCCTTCCTAATTTACCTGAGGAATTTGGTAATCTATGTAATCTAAGAACTCTCTACATGACAAGTTGTACAAGGTGTGAATTGCCATCCTCAACCATCAACCTTAAGAATTTAAAGGAGGTGGTATGCGATGAAGAGACGGCTGTTTCATGGGAAGCTTTCAAACCATTGCTTCCGAATCTGAAGATAAATGTTCCTCAACTTGATGTCAACTTGAATTGGCTTCATGCAATTCACTCCTAATATCTGTTTCATACAATTGTCATTGTGTTTGCAAGTTGTGGTTGAAAGTAAAGGGAGTAATGGCTTGTACAATGGATTATGGTAAAAGGAAACTTGTCAGTCAATGTTAGTTGGTGCTGAAGGTTTGGCTTGTTACCAAAATCCTATAAAACATGTCCAAGGAAAAACAGGGTAAAGGAGTTGTTGTTCAATGTCTTTTGATTCTTTCATTCGTTTAAACTTTCAATATCTGATTCAGTCGTTTAATCTTCTGATCATTACCTTCTAAAGCTCTGTACATTGCTATTATTACAATTTTGGAGAAATTCTATCATAAACCATGCATCCTATGAGAAACCATCAATTTATTTGTATAATAATGTATTGGGTGATTATTAGATCAAAACAGAAAGCCAAAACAAATCATTTTTCATATTTTGAAATTTGTAGAATTTAGTTAAGATTTGTCATAGCAGTAAATGAAATAACTAATAAATAGCTAGCAATAGAAATGTCACTAGTCTACAATAATACTCTGTTGCTAAATGTAATTGTCAAGTACTTGAGTGCTAATGATTTTACACTATCAATCTTTCTATGTACGTCGTAGTAGAAAATTCATAAAAAGCAGATATTTTTAATTAATGTTATTACAAATAAATTATATAAGCAATATCAATATATAAACTGAGAGAGAAATTTTATATAATTTCATTTTCTTATGTATGAATAAAATAAATAAAGAAAAATATGCAAAATAATTATACTATTAAATCATGTAGAGCCAACAACTAATTAAACTATTTCTAAACTTGAACTCAAACTAAAATAAAAATTCTTACAGAATTTGATAGTTTCAAATTTATTGCATTTTCTATACAAATTTATAAGAAATGAACTTACTACAAATTTTTATGTGAATTTTGTCAGATTGAAAAAAATAGAAAAATTTTACGAAATATATAATAACGTGAGTTAAACTTTGAGTAGAAATAATGCTTATGGAATGAAATACTGGAATCGATTTGACTTATTTTTAATTATGTTTATATATATATATATATTAAGTGCTTAACAGTGTAAAAGTTAAATTTCATAACATTTTTACTACTACTATGACTAATAGTATATTTTTTTTACACGTGGATTATAATTTGTGCCCCTTAACTCTTCTACCCTTTGTGCATTAATTAAAACAAAAAATATAACCAAATGTATAATAGTTTTTTTTTATAAAGTTAGAAATTTCGTTCAATTACTGTGAACAGTTAAAATAACTTGAAGTATAATATATAGGGTTGTAATATCAGTTGAAAAATGTAATATTAATTAAAAATATAATATATTTATATTAATAATTTTTATGCTATTTTTATTATTAGATTTATATATTATTTGAGGTAAAATATAATTAATAATTTGGAAAGAATAGTGATATTTGAACCCTTAACAATTCTCACTAACAAACAAATCCTGAAGCCCTTGTATTTTACTATTTCACCTCACACGCACTCTACATAAGCACCAACGAAAACACTACCTCAGGGCACAAATATATCCAACTATATAAACACCAATTAAGTCACAGACGCAACCAGGAAACACTCATCCCCATCACAGCCAAGATATAGCCTCGTCCAACCAAGGCCTTACTTGTGGGTGCAATGCAATGATAACTTCCTAACATAAAATTTCTTTCTTTCTATACTATGTCTCCATCCTACATTCTGCCTTGTCAGAGATTTATGTTTGACAAGTATACATTATATATATATATATATATATATATATATATTGGTCACTCATATGATATCAATGTGTTATATATATTATCCATAGTATACCATTTTGTGTGTTTCAAAGTTGTGGATCAACTTACAGGAGTTGCCCCCAGCTGAAGCAAACAATAATTGCATCAGCAGAAAAATGGTATAAAATATGGATACATATGTCTTCTACGTCATCTGTATATGAGGTAACCCTTCTTATTTCCGTCAAACTTAACTTTTTATTTTGTTTGGTCTACCTGCATTTCGTATTCTTTCACATGAAAAAGAAAATATTATTATTTCCTTGGTCTTTCCATAGAATGACAACTGTTTTATCCAAACATAGAGATTTTTTCAGTTAGTAAATTTTAAAAATCTTTCTAACTTCGTATCCACAGAGATAGTTACTTGTCAATAGACATGAACTGCATAGTATACGTGTATAGTTTCCAGACTGGAATGCTTTGAATTATAGACCAGAGGGAATTTTGTGGCAACCATGCATGCATTGCAATTTCAATGAATTAATCACTCTCAAGAATGAAGTTTCTAACACCCTAATTCCAAGCTATTTCCAGGGAAGTGGGAAAATATACTAATTCAGACACGAAGACTGTAGTGTTTTCAAGCTTTCTCTGAAACCCGACCAAACTAATTTCCTTCGTAGCATCTGAAATTTGCAGCACAAGTTTCCGAATGTGTACACTGTGAAGGATGGTTAAGAATGTTGACAGGGAGGAAACCTTTTTTAAGACAATCAGCACAAACACGTATTTGACTGAGAATTCTTAGAATATACTAATTTGAGAAATATCACTTCTAATCATTTTCCTTATAAATATCCGCAATATATAGAACGTGTGTTGGACGTTTTCAAATTCGCTTCTGTATTAATTGGAAATTTCTGAATAGGTGTTGTGAATGTTAGGTAAACCTTAAATGCATGTGGTTGAAAGGTAGTTGTTACAAAGGTAGTTGTTATAAAGGTAGTAGTTGAGAGGTAGTAGTTATATTGAATGTACGTAGTTGAGAGATAATGGTTGTATTGAATATATGTAGTTGAAAGATAGTAGTTATATTAAATTCATGTAGTTGAGAGGTCATATCCAAAGGCCTATAAATTGAACATGTATCACTCATTACAAAAACATCAAGTGATAATATATAGAGTGTTTTATTTAGATACTTGTTTGTCAACAAATTGACATCAAAGCTTGAGAGCCTGAGTGTCTGAGTGCGTTAGAGAGTGTTTGAGAGTTAGAGAGTTTGTTCGAGATGATCAACTTAGCTAACAGCATGCCCCTGCCAAAGTTATCGAAAGGCGTAAGCTATGATAACTGGAGCCTACAAATGAAGGCTCTCCTTGGTTCCCAGAAAGTATGGGATGTGGTAAAAAATGGGCACCAAGAACCAGAGAATTTTGAAGAGCAGACGATTGCCCAGCTTGCTGCATTGAGAGCAACACGGGTAAAGGACAAAATGACTTTGTACATGCTATACTGAGTTGATGATGAGTCCGGCTTTGAGAAAATAGCAAATGTTAAATCTTCAAAAGAAGCGTGGGATATTTTGGAGAAGGCATATAAAGGGGATAATCGCGTGAAGCAAGTGAGGCTTCAAACTCTTAGAGGCGAGCTTGAAAGCATGAGGATGAAAGAGGTCGAAGGGGTTGCCGAGTACATCTCCCGTGTTGAGACCGTGGTGAATCAACTCGGAAGAAATGGAGAGACGCTGCCCACTTACCGAGTGGTGGAGAAAATCTTAAAGTCGTTAACTGACGATTTTGATAATATCGTTTGTGCAATAGAAGAGTCCAAGGACTTGTCGGTGCTTTCGGTGGAAGAGCTTGCCGGGTCGCTTGAAGCGCATGAGCAACGGAGAGGGAAGAAGAAAGAGGAGTCCCTTGATCAAATACTCCAAGCAAAGACAACCTTATGCTCAGAACACTCAAGGCCGAGGTGGTAGAGGCAGGGGAGAATATGAAAGAGGCAAGGAGCCAGTCAGTCAACAAAACTGGCGTGACCGAAGATAAGGTAGAGGTCGTGACGGTAGAGGCCGAGGTGGTCAGTCAAGCAATTCTGGAGTTGAGTGCTTCAAATGTGGGAAGTACAGTCATTTTGCTAAGGACTGCTATTCAGGTATCAAATGTTATAATTGTGAGAAGGTTGGACATTTCGCGAAGGACTGCCGATCTGAGAGGAAGAAGGAGACAAACCTCCTCTCTGAGGACACTGAGGAAGAAGGAGTATTGATGATGTCGAGAAGTTCGGATGTCGAGCTAAGTCCGAGTTGTTTTGACAACTCAGTTTGGTATCTTGATACATGAGCAAGTAACCACATGTGCGGGGACGAGAACCTTTTTAAGGAGCTCACTAAAGTTGAGGCTGGACACATGTCATTTGGAGATGCATCAAAGGTGGCAGTAAAAGGCAGAGGTACAATCTGGTACCTGCAGAAGAATAGCCGAGTTGGAGAAATCAGAAACGTGTATTATGTACCCGATCTCAAAAGCAACATATTGAGCATGGGTCAGCTGATGGAGAAAGGCTACTCGGTTCTGATGAAAAACCGAGTATTATACCTGAAGGACAAGTCGGATCGTTTGATTGCCCGAGTAGAAATGAAGAAGAACAGAATGTACAAGCTGGACTTGAAGATAGTCCAAGAGAGGAGCTTGAAACTTGACGTGAAGGATGAAGCAATGATGTGACACTTTCGGTTTGGCTACTTGCATTTTGGCGGGCTGACCGAGTTGGTAAAGAAAGAGATGGTGCGAGGACTCCCGTCTATGGAATTTGAAAAGAAATTCTGTGAAGAGTGTGTGCCCGGGAAGCATCCGAGGACCTCATTTCCGAGGACGACCGAGTACCGTGCAAAGGAACAACTCGGATTGATTCACACAGATCTTTGTGGACCGATTACCCCTGAGTCCTTCAGTGGGAAAAGATATTTCATTTCTTTTATAGATGATTTTTCAAGAAAAACCTGGGTATATTTTTTGAAGGAGAAATCCGAGGTGTTTGAGGTGTTCAAGAGATTTAAAGCAATGGTTGAGAAAGAGACTAACATGCCTATCAAATCTGTTAGGTATGATCGAAGAGGCGAGTTCATTTCATCCGAACTCATGAAGTATTGTGAGGAGCAATGGATAAAGAGATTTCTGACAGCACCATACTCACCCCAACAAAACGGAGTTTCCGAGAGGAAGAATCGAACCATTCTTGACATGGTTCGAACAATGTTGAGAAACAAAAACGTGTCAAAGGAGTTTTGGGCAGAAGTAATGCAATGTGTCGTCTATGTGCAAAATAGATGTCCACATGCTAAGCTAAACGAGAAGACACCGCAAGAAGTCTGGAGTGGAAGAAAACCGAGTGTGTCTCACCTTAAAGTGTTCGGTAGCATAGCTTATGGTCATGTTCCAACTCAACATAGGACCAAGCTCGAAGATAGAAGCAAAAAGTACGTGTTTATTGGGTATGATGAAAAAACCAAGGCGTACAGGTTGTTTAACCCAATAACTAAGAAGGTCATCATGAGCCGAGATGTTCAAATTGATGAAGAAAGTGAGTGGAGTTGGAACAACTCGGAGAAGGAGTCCATAGGAAGTAGAAGCTCAGAAGTTGATACACCACATACTATGAGAGATAACGAGACTTCTGATGAAGAAGATGAACCTCTACAGCCCAGAGCGCGAAGTTTACAAGATATATACAACTCCACTGACGAAGTGCATGTTGTATGTCTCTTGGCAGATTCAGAAGACTTAAGTTTTGAAGAGGTCGTGCAGGAGAAAAGGTGGAAAAATGCAATGGACGAGGAGATCGGGGCAATAAAACGCAACAACACATGTGAACTGACTGATTTGCCCAAAGGAGCGCGGCTTATCAGCGTAAAGTGGGTGTACAAGAAGAAGACAAATGCTGAAGGAGAAGTTGAGCGATATAAAGCTCAACTCATAGTGAAGGGGTACAAGCAGAAAGAAGGAATAGACTATGACGAAGTATTCGCCCCAGTGACCAGAATGGAAATAATTAGGCTGCTGATTTCCTTAGTAGCTCAACACAGATGGACAATCTTGCAGATGGACGTGAAGTCAGCATTTCTGAATGGAATCTTAGAGGAGGAAGTATATGTTGAACAACCACTCGGATACATGCGAAGAGGAGAAGAGAAGAAAGTGTTGAAATTGAAGAAGACACTTTATGGCTTGAAACAAGCTCCACGAGCATAGAATGAAAGAATTGACATTTACTTCAAAAGGAATGGATATGAGCAGTGTCCTTATGAACATGCTCTATACATAAAGAAGAAAGGAGAAGATGTAATGTTTGTTGCCCTATATGTTGATGACCTTATCTTCATGGGGAATAATGCCGAGCTCAGTGGCGGATCTTCTTAGGAGCTGAGGGGGGTCGTGGCCCCCCCAAAGTTTTGTAACTCCCATGTAATTTATGATTTTGCCCCCCCCAAACATAATGAACATTTAATATATTTACTTGTATATTTACAATTTTATCCTCTCAGCCCCTCCTCAATTTTGTAACTCTCATATAATTTATGATTTTGTTCCCCTCAAACTTAATGATCATTTAATATATTTAAGTATATATCTAGAATTTTATCTTTTTACCCTTTCATCTTCTTTCTTCTTTTTATATTTATTTATTATTTATTAATAATATATTATTTGGCCCCCAAGATCAATGGTCAAGATCCGCCATCGGCCGAGCTAATTGAAGAGTTTAAAGAAGTGATGAAGAAGGAGTTTGAGATGACTGACTTGGGTCTTATGAAGTATTTTCTTGGCTTAGAAGTTGTTCAGGGAAATGATGACATCTTTGTGTCGCAGGAAAGGTATGCTGAGAAGGTCTTGAAGAAGTTTAAGATGACAAACTGCAACCCGGTTTCCGACCCTATGGAACCTGGTACAAAACTTTCTAAGTATGCAGATGGAGACCGAGTTGATGCAAGCAAATACCGAAGTCTGATTGGAAGTCTTAGGTATCTTACAAATACCAGACCAAATTTAATGCTAAGTGTTGGAATAATAAGTCGGTATATGGAGGAGCCAAGGTATACTCATTGGAAGACAATAAAGAGAATTCTAAGGTATGTGAGAGGAACAGCGTCACTTGGCCTAATGTATACTAGGACGGATGATTACCGACTAGTAGGCTACTCGGATAGTGACTGGTGTGGAGATGTTGATGATCGGAAAAGCACGTCTGGATATGTATTCTTCATGGGAAACACAACATTCACCTGGCTTTTAAAAAAGCAGCTCATTGTAACGTTGTCAACTTGTAAAGCCGAGTACGTTGCAGCATCCTGGAGTGTCTGTCATGCAGTTTGGCTTAGAAACCTTCTAAGCAAGCTGGAGTTGAAGCAAGAAAAAGGGACTGTGATTCGAGTTGATAACAAGTCGATCATTGAATTGACAAAGAACCCGGTCAATCATGAGAGAAGCAAGCATATTGATGTTCGGTTTCACTTCATCCGAGAACAAGTGAAAGAAGGAAATGTGGAGCTAGAGCTCGTCGGAACCCGAGCACAAGCTGCAGATATGTTCATGAAGCCACTGCCAACCACTTTGTTTGAGAACAACAAGAAGATGCTTGGAATGAAGGACAAGAAAAACATTTAAGTTTATGGAAGGATTTTGTTAGGTAAACCTTAAATGCATGTGGTTGAAAGGTAGTTGTTATAGAGGTAGTAGTTGAGAGGTATTAGTAATATTGAATGTATGTAGTTGAGAGATAGTGGTTGTATTGAATATATGTAGTTGAAAGATAGTAGTTGCATTAAATACATGTAGTTGAGAGGCCATATCTAAAGGCTTATAAATTGAACATGTATCACTCATTACAAAAACATCAGTAATAATATACATAGTGTTTTATTTAGATACTTGTTTGTCAACAATGAATAATATTTTAATCAAAAGTTAAACAGAATGTTTATATGACACAGAAAAAGAAGGGTTATTATACGTTGACAACTCCTACTTCCACTGACAACTATAAATAACAATATAAGCATGTATTTGTCTTTACCTACACCCAAATTAACAGTTAAACCTTGAATGAGAATAATATTGGTATATATGTTTTCTTCTTTTTCACGAAATTTCATTCTTACGAAACAAGGAATGTATTTGCAGAAGTTTACAAAGCCATGATGGTTAAGTAAATGTAATAACCTTAATTACTTCACATGTGTACAATCTGATAAATAGTCTCATATATGTGAGGGGAATTTTCCATGTAAGTAGTTTGCTTAAAACGAAAACTAAATGAATATTGGTGCAACGCATGATCTTTGGTCTTACGATTTTATATATCATTCATGACGGCAAAGAAAGAGTAAAAGACGCGTATAGTAATAAATTAGTAACAGATGGAATTACAAAAATTATATTCCTGTTTCTAGCTATAAATATGCTTTATGTTCTAACAAATGGAGATCCTCCAACAAGAACTTAATTTCATAATTAATTTTGAATTTGGATTGTGCAGTAAGTTGTAGCCTTCATTAGCAAGAAGGAACAGTAACAGGAAGCATCCCTAGTTGTTTCAAATTAAGGTACATTGTTTGTAACTGTAGCATTTCTTTGCTACCATAGTAGTATCTCTTCAACATCATATATACTTACTCTGACTTACAACTTCAAATGTCCTCTTATATTTTAGTATTAGAAGCCCTCTTCTTCTAGTATTTTCATTGTAAGTTTTTTTTTTTTTTTCATTTAACATGATTTATTGGTGTTTTAAAACTTCATTTTAAACTAGTTTGATTCAATTTAAAGATAACTAAAATTCAATTTGAAACTAAAAGTAACAAAAATGTTTAAAAAGAATAAAAAGTTAAAAAAAATATTTAATATCTAAGGTTAAAATAAAACACATGACTCAATATCTCTCTCACACACACATCTTTCACAAAAAAGACGCATAAAATCGCAAATTAGGTAACTGAACAAATAAATTTATGAGTTGATGGTAGGAAGTGGCATCTATACACTCACAATTTGGCTTTTTTTCACATGGTTACATAATTTAGATTTTTCACATTTTTAAAAAAATTAAACATGTTGTAAGGTATAAATTTTTAATTTATTATATAAGCATATAATATTTAAATAATATAAAACTTGAAATCATTTATTATATAAATAATATAATTTATAATAATTAATAAAGGTTAAACTAAAAATATAGTCCCTACATTGTGACTATTCTTTTTCTCATTAATCCTTTCCTAAATAATTTTACTTGTCGCTACATAAAATATATTTACAAATTTATCCATATCGACCATTTTTTTAAAATTATAATATATATATATATATATATATATATATATATATATAAATAATATGTTAAGATTGGTTTTTAAAATAAATATTGTTTATAATTATATCAATTAATAAAGGTTTGTTTCTATATATATACATATTTTCGAATATATATTTGTTACTATCATAATTTTTATGATAATTTTTTATTTTATTAATATTATCATAAAAATACGTGGACACATTAGCCTATCAACAAGTATAGTTATAATTTTAAAAAAATAAAATTAAAATGAAAGATTTAGATATCAAAGAAATAATAATAAGAAATTTTTAATTTTATTTTTTTACACTTAAACACGTTTTAAGCTTTTCTTATATAATCTATTTTTTATTTTAGTATTTAATAAAAAATTTCTTCAATAGTTTTATGTCGTACCATTAAAATAATATAATATAAATATTAATTATGATGATAGAAAATTGTTGAGAAAATAATGTCAGAAACTTAATAAATATTTTATTTAAGAACTTAAATAAAAATATTAATTTTACTAGATATAAAAAAATATTGGGTATTCCTTTCAAAAGCATGCAACTGTCTATTTTTCACTTTCACACTCGTATAAACTCCATATTTGAGGTCCACAATGCAGAAATTGAGTTTCTCAGCGTAATTGTCACAACTGATTCTTATTTGATTGATAGGAATGAAAAGTAGGTTATTCATGGAAGAGATGGCATTACCAATGAATCGTCCCTTTGGTGTTCCTGAAAAGCCAGGATTCACTGTTGGGTTGGATGTACCATTTACCAAGTTGAAGATGGAACTTCTCAGCGAACCTGCGTCCATCATTCTGTTGACTGGTTTTGGAGGATCTGGGAAAACCACTCTGGCTACGAAACTTTGTTGGGATACACAAATCATGGGTAAGTCATAACTCTTTTTGGTTCTCTATTTCAGCAAACTGTTCTTATAGATGATAACAAGAAATTTTTAAACATGTACTGAAAATTTTAAAACTTCTGATATGATAGTATTCAAGAATAAATGATAGTTTATTGTCAATGGTTGAAATTAATTTCAATCATACTCCTCTATTTCCCTTCATATTTCTAAACTGTAGAAACAGCTTGAAGCAGAGTTCAATCTTACTAATACTGATAGTTATGTCCTACTTTTGCATATCCTTCTCTAACATAGAGAAACATTTTCTTAATTTTCATTTCCGTTCATGTTTTTTTTTTTTTCTGTAAATTATTAAACGTTGTTTCACTACATGCACGGAAAGAATCCCGGGCTCACTAATGTGTTTCTCTAGGTAAATTCAAGGAAAATATATTATTTTTCACCTTCTCTAGGGCTCCTAAATTGAAGATTATTGTAGAAAGACTATTTGAGCATTGTGGAGACCAAGTGCCTGAGTTTCAAAGCGACGAAGATGCCGTTACTCAATTGGGACTTTTGCTGAGGAAAACTGATGCAACTCCTGTATTACTGGTCCTGGATGATGTCTGGCCTGGCTCAGAAGCCATAGTTGAGAAATTTAAAGTTCAGATATCAAGTTATAAAATTTTGGTGACTTCAAGAGTTTCATTTCCTAGATTTGGCACTCCACTCATCTTAAAACCTCTTGTTCATGAAGATGCGATAACCCTTTTCCATCACCATGCTCTCTTCAAGAAAAGCAGTTCATATATTCTTGACGAAGATCTGGTCCAAAAGGTGCTTGTTTCTTCTTTCTGAATTCTTACAAGTAATCCATTCTCGAACAATTGCAGCTTGGGTACCTGACTCATAACAGACTATACTTTCTTGGACTGAAATGCAGGTGGTGACACATTGCAAGGGTTTACCGCTTGCCATTAAAGTTATTGGTAGATCACTAAGTAATCGACCTTATGAATTGCTGCAAAGGATGGTGGAGGAATTGTCCCAAGGTCATTCTATACTTGATTCCAACACTGAATTACTTACTTCCCTCCAAAAGATCTTAGATATCTTGGGAGATAATTCCATAATCAAAGAATGCTTCATGGACTTGGCTTTATTTCCTGAAGACCACAGAATTCCTGTTGCCGTTCTCGTTGATATCTGGGTAGAGTTGTATGGACTAGATAATAGTGGCATAGAAGTAATGGCCATTGTCAACAAATTAGACTCCATGAATTTGGCTAATATCTTCGTAACAAGGTAAAGTCAATGACTACTTATACTTCTTCCCAATTACTTCATCCTAATATAATATACACAGCAAATAATTCAATAGCTTGTTAGATCATGAAATGAGAAGTTGATTCATTACCAATTATTCCAAAGTTAACAATTAACTAATTTTAACTTCTTGCATTATGTAACTCTGCATTTCTTGGTATGAACTACTTCGCGCACAGAAGTTTAAATTTTTAAATCTATCATATATAGAGAGCATTTATTTTTAATCTTGTGAGGTAACCTAATTTCTGCTAATTTATCAGGAAAAATACAAGTGACATAGACAATTACTACTACAATAACCATTTTGTAATCCTTCATGATATTCTAAGAGACTTGGCAATTTATCAAAGCACTCAAGAACAAACTGAACAGAGAAAAAGACTCATGATTGACATGAACGAAAATAAACCTGAATGGTGGCGTAGGGAGAAACAGCAAGGCATTATGATTTGTGCTCGCACATTGTCTATATCAACCGGTTAGTTATTTCTCTAAGTATAGAAATTCACTTACAAACTAAAGATGGCAAAGAGAAAGCCCCTATGATCTATCATTTGTTACTTTTCTGCTATTAACACCTTATGGGTTGCTTTTGCAGATGAAACTTTCACTTCATATTGGTCCCACCTATTACCAGCTCAAACTGAGGCTCTGATTTTAAACCTTCGAGCTAATCAGTACTCCTTTTCAGAGTTCCTGAAAGAAATGAGTAAACTAAAGGTTCTGATTGTCGTAAAGTATGGTTCCCATCCTTGTGAAATCATCAATTTTGAGCTACTTGGCTCACTAAACAACCTAAAACGAATCAGACTAGAGAGGATTTTTATTCCTTCCTATTACATATTAAAGAATCTTAAAAAGTTATCCCTCTACTTGTGCAATACAAGACAGGCTTTTGAAAACCATAACATGCTAATTTCTGATGCTTTTCCAAATCTAGAAGATTTGAGTATTGACTATTGCAAACATATAGTGGGATTACCCAAGGGTCTATGTGATATCACCTCCTTGAAGATGCTCAGTATTACTAATTGCCATAAGCTTTCTGCATTGCCCCAAGAAATTGGAAACTTGGTGAATTTGACGCTTCTGAGGCTAAGTTCTTGTACTGATTTGGAAGGGATACCGAATTCTATTGTAAAACTTTCAAATCTAAGACACATGGACATCTCAAACTGCATTAGCCTTCATAATTTACCAGAGGACTTCGGCAATCTATGTAATCTTAGAAATCTGTACATGACAAGTTGTGCAAGGTGTGAATTGCCACCCTCAATCGTCAATCTTAAGAATTTAAAGGAAGTGGTATGTGATGAAGAGACGGCTGCTTCATGGGAACCTTTCAAACATATGCTTCCCTATCTAAAGATATATACTCCTGAACTTGATGTTAACTTGAATTGGCTTCATGCAATGCACTTTTAATACCTGTTTCATGCAGTTATCATTGTGTCTGCAAGTTGTGATTGATCACACAAGAAAATAAAGGGAAAAAATATGGCTAGACTTGCACAATGGGTTATAGTAAAAGGGAAGTTCAATATCTATGTCAGTCAATGGCGAAGGGACAATATTTGGTTCCTTGTTCAGAAACTTCTAAAAAGAAAATCTTATATGATCTGTCCAAGGAAAAATAGGGCGAGGGAATTGTTATTGTTTAGGTTGATGGCCTCCACATTATGCAAAGTGTTTAATGTTGGCGAGTGAGTACTGCATATTATGTTTAGTGTTAATGTTTGTGTGTACCTGTGTGAATTGTGATTATACCTACATATCATGTTTCTTTCTCATGTGGTTAAGAAATTGTGAGTTTTGGTTTATTCTTTCATTTGTTTCTGCATGAAAACTTCAAGAAAAAGAGAGTCCCTGACTTTGATCCCTCATAATTCTCCAAAATAGTTTGATTGGTTTCACTCTCTTGTGGCTTGAACTCTTAACACCTCAAGTATTGTCGAAACATTGACAGCTTAAACAAGGTTTAATCTAAGAGAATGGCGTGGAGAACTTACTTTTACCTTAGGGGTCTTTACGTAAGTTAACCAATTTATATAAGCGTTGGTAGCAAAATGATCAACTAAGATTAATGCAATGATTTGGGCAGCAATGGCATAAAACTTGCCTTGCAAACAGGATGTCAAAATGGAGAAGTCCATTTTTTCTGACCATGAAAACGGGACTGGAGGGGTGCCCGACCCACCAGACATATCCTATTTTTGTCATTTACTTAGAAATGACACGCAAATTATCTTTTTGAGGGTTGTCAATTAGGTCATTTTGATCTGTTTGTAGTCCATCACCAATTAAAGACATGTTTGGAGAAACTTTTTTATAAACAATTTAAAATAAAATGAGTTTTTTGTTTAATTAAAATTAAATCAACTCAAGTTGATTTATTGATAGATTAAAAATGGAAAGTTAGGCGCGAGAATGAAAAGGTCCAAGTTAAAAACTATCACCAAATTAAGTCATCGCTTACAATCATTTGATGACAAATTAATAAGCCATGTCTTAATAGGATTTACTTACCTGCAAGTTTGCAGGGCATGCAAACTCATTGAACCATAAACTACTACCGAAACAGGCTTTGGATACGTGGGTGCGCACCCATATAAGCATCAATTAACAAACGGGAAAATTTTTTTGAACAAAACATTATGTCATGCAAACCCTAAAATAAATACAAATTGTTTTTCTTAATTTTTCAAAAAAAAAATAATAACGGTTCGAAATAAATCACCCCGCTTTTATGGTAACTAATATACATATTTTAAATCTAGAGTTTTTCTAATTAAAATAATATATTATGGTATATCAGATAATTATTATCTAATTTTTTAATCATATTTTTATTTTTAAATTAAAAATATTGTAATCTCTCAAATTAGAAAAATACATTTTTAATCTTAAACATTAAATTTTAGAATTTAAAATATTTTTTTTAAAACTGTTTTTAACATCTAATAATATTTAAGTAGTTAAGACTATTATGTAAACATTAAGCTGTTCAAGAGGAAATGAGATGATTTATAGTGATGAAACTGGTATGGATTCAACAAAGAAATCAGAAGAAGAAACCATGGACTTTAAATTTTATGTTTCTCTATTAAATTGGTGAGATTCGACGGGAAAACAGCTTGACATGATTAATTATATTTTTACATAACTAGTAGAAATAATAAATTACAACGTGACGAAGATTAAAAAACAAAAACAGTAGAATTGATTTTGTGTTTTTTTTATTATTATTATTGAAACCACATAATTTATTACATGATTTTAAATAAATATTTCAAATTAAATTATTAATACTATAATATTTTATTTTAAATAATATTTTAATAAATATTAAATAAATATAATATATATAAATTTTAAAGATAATAATGTAAGAATAATTACTTATTTATTATATTAATATTTATATTAATAAAAATGTTATTGTAACAAATAATTTCAGTAAATCATTTACACTTTTTATAAAATCTAGAGAAACATCCATAAATATTATATTTTACTAAATTTGATAGATTTATATATATAATAATAAAAAAATAATTGAAAAATCAAACAGATAAAAGTTTTATTTAATAAAAGAAGACTCAATACTAAATTATTTTATTATTAGATAATTTAATTTTTTAATAATTTTTATATTATTTAAAATTTTAAAAATAATTATCATATATTCTATTATATCTTAATTTTAATTTATATTATTTTAAATTAAATGATCATACAAATATTTTAATCATTTACTATTTTATTTTTATTATTTATTTTTAAAACTAATCAAATTAATTTTATCTTCTATCTTTTTCTTTTTTTTTTACGAATTTTTCTTTATTTTTCATTCTGTTTCTCATATTTCAGACAACAACATTTTTTATATTTTTTCTCTTTCTTCTATAATATTATTATTAATATAAAGACGGTGTGGTTTGGCGGCGTGGCATGCGTGGTGGGCAAGGAGAAAAGAAGAGGAAGATGAGATAAATCCTTCTACTCAATACAAATTCAATACTTACTCTTCTCTCTCTCTTCCTTCAAACAAACCTTCTATCATTTCTTCTCCTTGCTTCAGATCCCTTCTTCTAAGTCTCCCACACCCACAACCATGCTTCATCCAAACATTCCCTTCTTCATCCTCACACTCACAAATCGCCTCTTCCACCAACTTGCAGAACTTGTAGTCACCTTCAACGTTTCACCCATCCATGACCTGTTCTCCAGGTTGCAGGTAAAAAGGAGATCTTTTTAATATTTCTCACTTGTAAGTTTTATTAATAACAGTTCTTTTTTCCTTCTTTGCAGTTGATTTCGTAATTTCATATGCTAAAAAAATAGTGAATTTTCTATAAAAAAAAATAAGAAAGAATTTCAAGGGAAGCTGTTTATTTTTCATTGAGTATGTACACAAAAAATAATGTTTACCAAGCAGTTGTTAATGATGACATTTCCACGACTTTTCTTGAAAGTCATAATGTTGTGTCGTTGTTTCTGTGAAATTTCCTAAGAAAGTATCACATCACATGACGACGCATATTTCGGTCAGAGAAAGGAAAATTACGACATGAAAAAAAGTTTTTAAATAAAATCGTCTAAGAATAAAATTAAATTTTTATTATAAATCAATTAATAAAATTAAATATTTTATTATAAATTTTATAATTAAATTGTTTAAAATATAATTAAAATTGTTTATTTAAATAATTTTCTTTTAATTTTAAATAATTTTTTATTTTTAAATAATTCAAAAAATTTATAATAAAATATTTATTTTTATTTTTAAATAACTATCGACAATATATATGACACGTGGGCACGATTCGATTATTTCAATAATTGATTTTATATTTCTGTTGAATCCACCTTACCCGCGCTCCACCTTTTGCGGCATGAACGATCGTTTTAAACGCTCAAAAAGTCTTTAATGCGTTGTAAACTTGGACAATTTCCAACGTCAAAGTCTGCAATATCTGTCAGCGACTAATATATATCTTTCTGTCTTTTTATATATAATATCATAAATATATAAAATAAAATTAATTATTTTTAATTTTTAAAATAAGATATATAACAATTATGTAAATATTTATAATATTTTATATTTTAATAATAATTTTTATCAAAAAAATATTGGATAATTTTTAAATTTTTTTATTAAATTTTTCTTTTATCATTTATATTAATAAATTATTCACAAATTTTTATAATTTTTTTTCTTATTTTCTTATAATTTTTTATTATATTTTCCTAGACAACTTTATCTTCGTTTATCTCTTTTCTAAAATATATTATTTTTCTCAAACTCATTCTCAAATGTTTCTTTATTCACGATATTATATGATTTTAAAAGATATATTATCAGCGCGTAAGATTTATAAATAACTATTTTTTCATGGAAAAACATATGTGGAGAAAGATCATACTCCTGTATCAAATTTATTATTTCGAATTCTTAATTTTATGAAGGAGAAAGAGAGCTGTGTACATTTGTATACCTTCTTTATTCAATAAAAATTATATTAAAAATAGATTTATTAATCAGGATAAAAATATAATTTATTTCTTTCTTTCACTTATTAAATAAGACGAAAAATTCCTTACCGTTCTTTCCCTCCAATTTCAATCAAAGTATATTTTCCACGTTACTAAATTCCATTTAGCGTGGTGGAGCGTTGAAATATTAAAAAAATGGAAAGGGAGTGAAAGAAAAATCAGGAACGTGGATCCCCTGGTTTGGTACTGAAGCACAAAGGAATCCATAGTTTTTTAATATATATATATATATATATATATATATATATATATATATATATATATATATATATATATATATATATATATATATATATTAATAAACAACCTAAATATTATCTGATTTGATTCCTCATCACTTTCGTTCGGTAGACCATCTCCGCGTGACAACGACCTGCTCAAGAAACTCACTGGAAACACACAGGAAGACCTTAACGTAGATTCCAAATCTTGCAACTTTGCCTGATTATAAATACTTGGTTTCGCGCTACCCAAATTTCAATCTTTTCAATTCCAATAGCAACCCACTTGCCGTTGGTTAGCTCCAAATTGCAAATTAACCACAAGACAGAAAACCACACCTTCGTAAGAGGTACGAGCAATTCTCTCAAAGGCGCAGTATATGTTGAGAGCCATGAGTGTTTTTTTTTTTTTTAATTGTTAATTTTCGTCTTGGCTGTAACAGAATATATATGACTATCTCATTTCCTTGCTAAAATCTCTAATTTATGCAACAACACTGACTTTCTATGACAGCTTGTTCCTTGTTTGATTGAACAGAGGAAGGAAGCAACAGATTGGCTATCATGGGAGAGACCAAACAACTTGTTATTTTGACAAGATTTCAAGATGCAATGAGAATGGTCGTGGACATAGTTGAGAAAGGTAGAAAGAACAAAAGGAGCAGGCGAATACTGAGGTCAACCCTAAAGAATATGACTCTAGTGGTGCAGGAGATAAAGCTATACAATGAACACTTGAATCCACCCAGAGAAGAAATTATAACCCTTGTCAAAGAAAAAGATGTAGGGGAAGGGCTTGTGTGCAATTCCTGCTCCCGGAGCCTGTGGTGGACCAAATTTCTATCTTGGTTTTCGCTCTACGGGGAGGGACTCTTACATAACAAGGATGATTTCTTTACTGCGGATGACAGGCAGGTTAAGGATATAAAAAACACACTGTACAAGGTGAGAGAGATTATTGAGATTCTTGACATAGAGAATTTTAAACAGAACCTTAAAGGAGCTGGAACTCCAATTAAATGTCCTTTTGGTGTTCCTGAAAACCCAGAATTTACTGTTGGCTTGGGTCCACTATTGAGCAAGTTGAAGATGGAGGTTCTCGAAGAAGGTATGTCCATCCTTTTGCTGTCCGGTCTGGGTGGATCAGGTAAAACAACCTTGGCTACGAAGCTCTGTAGAGATGGAGAAGTCAAGGGTAAGTGATCATTCTTCTTTGGTTCTCTGATGCCTGATTAATTGGCTGACTAATTCTTCTTGTAGAAGAAGTCTATGCTATAATGAAATTTGTTTAGGGTGATAGTTATCCCCTTACCAATTTTTCAGAACTCCATTTATAGGTCTTCTATCTCATAGTAAATGACAGACGAGAAAAAGTTTTCTGAAAATTTGTTTATAACGATAGTCATCCCCTCATCGATGCTTTCGTAAGCTCACTTATATATCTATCCTCTATCTCATACATATAAAATCTCTGTCATAAACTATCAAACTTCTACTAAAGATACTAAAAGATGGATGAAAAATGTTCATTTGAAAATCGCTAACATCTATCGAAATTTATATATAAGATATGAAAATAGTGCTCTGCGGAATGTTTTGAATCCCTTATTCTGAAATGAAGTGCAGTTTAAACTAGAGTTCATACTTACTGTATACTGATATCCTTTGATAGATTGATACGTCTCTTTACATCAATAAGAACATATCATATTCTTTGCAAATACGGCTTTAACAGATTAGAGAAGCATTTCTTTTGACCCGTGTTAATTGATTTTATTTTCTGTTTATCGGGATGTTCATTTAGTAAAATTTTGTTTGTTTGAATTAAGACATCAAATTAAATGCTCTGGGCTTACAGATCTCTTTGCTTTCACCAGCTAAATTCAAGGACAATATTTTGTTCATCACCTTCTCACAAACGCCTAAGTTGAAGAATATCGTAGAGAGACTATTTGAACATTGTGGCTACCACGTGCCTGAGTTTGTAAGTGATGAAGATGCAATTAAACGTTTGGAAATTTTGATGAGGAAAATTGAGGGAAGTCCACTGTTGTTGGTCCTGGATGATGTTTGGCCTGGCTCGGAAGCCCTTGTAGAGAAGTTTAAATTCCAGATGTCTGATTATAAAATTTTGGTGACTTCAAGGGTCTCATTTCCTAAATTTCGCCCCCAATTTATCTTGAAACCGCTTTCTCATGACGATGCAATGACCCTTTTCCGTCACCATGCTCACTTGGAAGAAAGCAGATCAAAATGCAGTTCAAGTATTCCTAGCGAAGAAATTGTCCAAAAGGTGCTCATTCTTTATTTTCTGACATATGGGTGCAATCTGTAACTACCCTTCTTGTCTGAAGTCATTGATTTGAGAGTAGAAAGCTGTGTTTTAACCCCAAAAAGCAATTATGTGGTAGATTTCTTAGGTACGACCTTTTCTTTATTAACCTTATTTGGTTGCACTGAAATGCAGGTTGTGAGATATTGCAAGGGTTTACCGCTTGTAATCAAAGTGATTGGTAGATCACTCAGTCGTCAGTCTATTGAGTTGTGGAAAAAGACGGTGGAGGAATTGTCACAAGGTCATATACTTGATTCTAGTACTGAATTGTTTACATGCTTCCAAAAGCTCTTGGATGTTTTGGAAGATAATCCCAACATCAAGGAGTGCTTCATGGACCTTGGGTTATTTCCTGAAGATCAACGAATTCCCCTTCCTGCTCTCATTGATATGTGGGCAGAATTGTACAAATTAGATGATGATGGCCTAGAAGCAATGGAAATCATAAAAAAATTAGACTCCATGAATCTGGCTAATGTTTTAGTTGCAAGGTAAGATGACTAGAAGCTCATGCAAGAATCCATTAGTAACTTACAAATAGATAAAAATGACAATTTCTCTTGGAGTGAGTTGAAACTTCTCACATCATGCAACTCTACATTTACTTTTTTGAACTCATTCTGAGGTCGGAAGTTGAAATTCATAATTTATCTATCTAATAGAGTGCATGTACTATATAATCTTGTGGGGTAACTTCTCTTTACTAATTTTTTTTTTTCTGCTCGTTTACCAGGAAAAATACAAGTGACTCAGATAATTACTACTACAATAACCACTTTGTCGTCCTCCATGATCTTCTAAGAGATCTTGCAATATATCAGAACAACCGGGAACCAATTGAACATAGAAAAAGACTTATTACTGGCATTAATGAAAATCAAAGTGAATGGTGGCTTGGGATAAAGCAACAAGGCATGATGTCCCGCTTATTGTCAAACTATCGCGGGTGGTGTGTTAAACAGACTCTTCAACAGGTCTCAGCCCGCACATTGTCGATATCAACTGGTTAGTTATACCGTTTTTGAAGTGTATACTCTTAAATAGTAATAATGCTAATAAGAAAGTAGCACTGATTTGCCAATGATTACTCTTCCCCAGCTGACATCATAGGTTGATTTTGCAGATGAAACTTGTGCTTCGTATTGGTCCGACATTCAACCATCCCATGCTGAAGTTTTGATTTTAAATCTTCAAACTAAAAAATACTCCTTTCCAGAGTTCATGGAGAAAATGATTAAACTAAAAGTTCTTATCATGACAAATTATGGTTTTCATCATTCTGAAGTGGACAATTTCAAATTACTAGGTTCTGTATCGAACCTGAAAAGAATCAGACTAGAGCGGATTTCTGTTCCTCACTTGGGCGCATTGAAAAATCTTAAAAAATTATCCCTCTACATGTGTAGTAACATCAGCCAGGCTTTTGAAAATGGTACCATCCTAGTTTCAGATTCATTTCCAAGTTTAGTAGATTTGAATATTGACTATTGCAACGATACGGTGGCATTCCCTAATGGGATCTGTGATATTACCCCACTAAAGAAGCTCAGTATTACTAATTGCCACAAACTTTGTTCTCTACCCCAAGAAATTGGACAGCTGTTGAATTTAGAACTCCTGAACCTAAGTTCCTGTACTGATTTGGAAGAGATACCAGATTCTATTGGAAACCTTTCTAAGCTAAGACTTCTTAACATCTCAAACTGCATAAGCCTTCCAAGTTTACCAGACGACATTGGTAATCTATGTAATCTCAGAAATCTCAATATGACAAGCTGTGCAAGGTGTGAATTGCCATACTCAATAACCAATCTTGAGAATTTAAAGTTGGTGGTGTGCGATGAAGAGACAGCTGCGTCATGGGAAGCATTCGAAGCTATGCTTCCCAATCTGAAGGTAGAGGTTCCTCAAGTTGATGTTAACCTAAACTGGCTTCATTCAATAATCTACTAACTCCTGGGACCTGGGCTGCTTCATGGAAGGAAACATTTGAAGCCATGCTTCCCAATCTAAAGTCAGAGGTTCCTCAAGTTGATGTAACTTAATGGCTTCCTTAGACCAATGGTCGTCATCTTGTAAAAAGTATCTATAATAGCCCTACTCTTGTTACCAAGTGTCACGTATTAGCATGTTTCTTGCAAGTTGCAAACAGTAAATGTTACTTGAAAGAAGCAGAAGATTTAGTGTAATATGTGTGATGTCATGTGCTCACATGCTTAGTATACTTCTATATGTTGTAAGTTTGCGCAGTTCTGAACGTTAATAAAGTATGTTTCTTATAAAAAAATTTAATCTTTTGTTTCGATTTTTCGTTCTGATTCGTTTCCCGGCTAATGTATTGTAATCTTTATCCGAAATCCAGCAACAAAATAAACCTTGGAATGGACACTTGTAACGACTACTTGCAAGTAGATACATAATGATCATCACTATCATAAATTTGCTTACATTTTTACTCTTGTTTTTATTAACTCACAAAGTGCTTTGTTTCGTGTCGATGCAAAAGCTGTAGTTTCTAGTTTTTAACAATCGCACAGAACTGCGAACTTCCCAAGGGACACCTTCATTGTCGTTTTACGCAGCAGTTAAGCTTCGGCACCTCTCATGGTTGAACAAGAACACATTGATTATGTAAACATGTTTTGATATAATCATTGGTCTGATCACATCATTAGCAGAGTGTGATTCGTTTGTCTTGTTATTAATAATTTACAATGAGCATTCAAACTCTATGAAGATATTATTATTGAATAGCTTTATATCTTCCAAAAAAACTAATTCCTCAAAATATATTATTAACTAGAAAGCAAATTAACATTTTACGTATTACGTATTACAAAATTTAAATTCTAATTTTAGAATAATCCTTATGTTGTATATGTTATCTCTTACTACTTAAAATTCATCATCAACAAGAGCAAACTCTTTATCATACACAAGCTCTTATTCATCGAATTATGGCTCTTTATCTTCGTTAAGTGCCTCGTGAACGTTCTATTTGATGAGCTAGGAAGGTTTAGGATGATGATGGGAAAATGTTAGTTAGTTATGAAGACTCTTTGGGATGTTACTTCTCAATTCTAAGATCTACAAGGATGACATCATTTGAGGTCTAACATTGATGAAGTTGCACCATGTCATAACACTCTAAAATAAGTTTTGAACTATTAAAACTTTAATTAATCTAAAAAATACTTTCGTATGTGTTAAAATTTTATCATTTCAAGCATTTTGAAAAATAATTTTTGTAAGTGTAAAATTTAACATATTTTGAAAAATACTTTTTTTCAGAAACAAATCTTTAGAAAAAACAAATGGAGACAACTTTCCTTTGAGGTGGAATCTTTTAGAGATAGTTAAAGATAATGATATTGTACTCATAAAGAATCTGGAAGCTTGATTGTACTCATAAAACAATTAATGGATGGTATGTTAACAATTGGTATACAAAAAGAACGAATTTTCCTTATTTCTTGTATAACGAATAGCCAAATTCATAACTTCCAACACTTTCCTTATAGAATTTTATTAGTTTAATTTGTTTCAATTTTTTGAAAAGAAGAAGTTATTTTTAAAATATAATTATTTGATTCAAAATTCATGTCTTTGTTCCAACTTTTTCAATTAATCAGAAATTGGAAAATCTAAAATTTGATTATAGAAAAATATAACGTCTGAAACAAACAGTAATTGGTTTATTTTTTAATAAAATATCTCTAATAAATAATTACTGGATAATTTTACGATAAAGTATATTTTTAATTTGTGATAAACAAACACATGATGAATTTATTTGGAAGATTCGAAAAATAGGTAAAAAAAATTTATGCCTTAAGTTGAATCAGATTTATTTTGACATAACCTATCTAGGTTATAACTTACGTGAGTTTAGGTCATAATTAATTTATATGAATTTAAGTCAGGTTAATTCATAAATTTATGAATCGACCCGTTTTATAAAATAATAATTATTTTTTAAATAAAAATAGTATTATTTTAATAAAAATATATATGTATTTTAAATTAATTTGTGAAAGATTCACTTAGTATAAGAGTAAATATCAAAATAAATTTTTAATAATAATTTATTTCAAGATCTAATTATTTAGGGTAATTACTATTTAAAATTAATAAATTATTAAAAATAAATAATAATAATAATAATAAATAAATAAATAAAATTTTAATTATTGAATTAATTTATTTTTCTATAATTTATATATTAAATAATTATATCTTAAATAAAAATTAATTTTATTAATAAAATGAAAATTTTAAAATAATTTTTATTTTTATTTAAATATTTTTTTAATTAATTAATTTTATATAAATGTATTAATATTAAAAATTTTTTATTTTGAACCAAGTCAAAATTAACCTATTAACTTAATATAAGATTGTACTAAAATTTTGACATAAAAATTGTACTAAAATTTTTCACTCATTCTAAAATAAATATAGAATATAGACAAGAAGAATAGACCATTAAAATATTTTTTTAATTTTATCACATGATTAAGCCAAACTGGAGGAGGTTGTCATTTTAACAGTACTATAAACAAGTTATGCATCTTTTCATGTTGACCAACCATTAAATGATTGCAGATAAACAATTACCCAAAAAAGTCATGCGAACTATTTAATGTGGTTGCCAAAGTGTGCAGAGAAGCATGGTAATCGGTTGCATCAAGTGGGAAATGTAGAAAAAGCAACCTTGAAGTCATCGAAATTTTATAGTCTGACATCTGGAATTTAAATTTCTCAACAGCCATCAGATCCAACAACCTCAATCGTTTAAACTGCTGCATCTTCATCGCTTTGAAGAACAAGGGCACTCGAGATCCACGTGCAGCGAAGCTCTTGTTGGGAAATTTGAATTTCGAATGTCAGATTGTAAAACATGGGTGACTTCAACATGTGAGTTACACAAACCAAGTGTTGCAGATTGTGGCGTAAGTATAACAATTGCTGTCCTTGAGTTTATTTGCTTGTAAGTACTGAAATGCTCGCTTGCCCCTGCGGTAAGTATTAGAGGAGCACAATATCACACTTACTTTGTTACTTGTTATTAGTATGAAATAATTATCATAAATAGAAACGTTATGTTTTTTCTATGAAAGTTCTCTCTTATTCTGAGATATATGATCTTTAACCAATCAATGAGTGTTACATGCATTTCTTCTTACTTTTTTCATATAGGAAAATATGTTGGGAGAAGTGACCACATGGTTTATATCTTTTTTATTCTTGTTAAGTAACAAATTTCTGTGATGAAGGAGTATTTAATGCTGGATTTCCTGAAGTACTAATACTGACATGTGGCCATTTGTTTTATGTTTTATTTTAGGTCACTTAATGCTAGTTATATATAACTAGTGATGGTACTTTTTACTGTATGTAACTCTTCACTCATCTCATCTTATGATCTTATTTTGAGCATAAAAATTGAAATTCTTTCTCGTTTTATAAACGAATTGGAGTACATACTTTTTTCATTTATTCTTTGAATAAAACTAAAATGGATCCAAAAGGACTAAGTATTTTGTTTATGTGGATTTCAACTTTTGACTTTTCTTCAGAAAACATCAGATATATTATTGTATAAAAAATTATTGTGAAATATTAGTAAACGGTTCTAATCCCTAAGTGAAGCGGGTTCACCGCATGTTAGAATTGGGTTGGATTTTTTTTTTTACCAATTGTCTGACTTAATTTATAGGTTAAGATTATAATAGATTGACTCATGATCTATAATATATTTTTTATTCTAAAAATAATTAATAATTTAATAAATAAATAAATTTTATTTATTTATGATATTATATTTTTTTATGTTAGTTATCCGTTGTATTTGTTTAATTAATCGTATTTTTTACTTTCACACAATTATGTTCGTTGTTTCTATCATCAAATCATCACGTTTTCGTTTATCTCTATTGTGTTTACCACTTTCGTTGCATCCATTGTCTCTATTGCATTTTCGACCTCTATCGTGTCTATTGTCTCTACTACATTAAGTTACGGATATGATACATCAACCATATATATATATATATATATATATATATATATATATATATATATATATATATATATATATATATATATATATATATATATCAAATATGTCACATCTTTTACTTATTTCTATTATGTCTACCACTTTCGTTGCATCCATTGTCTCTATTGCATTTTTGACCTCTATTGTCTCTATTACATCCATTAAATTCACGTATATGTTACATCAACCATATATACATATATATATATATATATATATATATATATATATATCTATTTGTTGTGTTTGTAGTGAGTTAATGAGTCAATCCACAAAGTTCTAACATGTGTCTCATTAGCTATGTAATTATAAACATTATCTTTTACATATTGCCGAACAAAATCGCACACTTATTGGTGTTCAATGTCTCATTCTTCATCGGACATAAAATCTGGCATTTGCTTGATGATTGTAGTTATGACAATCACTTTGGTTCGGGTAAATGGAAGCTCACTAAAGATAACTTAGTCATGGCTAAAGGGGAGAAAAATTCTAAATTATATTGAATTAAAACTTTGGTTGCCAAGGACACTGTGAATGCTATGTATATGGAAGCATCTTTGTGGCATCGAAGGCTTGGTCATATAAGTGAAAAAGAACTTAATTGCTTAGCTAAAAAGGATATGTTTTTAGGATTGAAGAGTGTAGAATTGAAGAAATGTTCTCATTGCATGACTGGTAAATAAATCAAAGTATCTTTAAGAAGCATCATCCCTCGAGAAAGTTAGAGTTGCTTGAATTGGTGAATTCTGATGTTTGTGACCCATTGAAGGTAAAGTCATTTAGTGGTGCATTTTGCTTTGTTACTTTTATTGATGATTGTTTCAAGAAGTTATGGGTCTATCCATTACAAAGAAAGAATCAAGTACTTGAAAAGTTTAAAAAATTTCAT